GCGTCGTATTTTCGAAGAAATTGCCAAGTGGCGTTGGTGGGTGGACTTTAAGAATACAGTAGCGCAGAAATTTAAGGTTCAGGTAGGAGATCTCTGCGTGAGCAGAGGCTTCAGTTCAAGAGTTCTTGCGATGGCCATGGTCTCCTCCGCGTAGAGCCACTGCGCCCTGATGGTCAACCATATCAGTAGACCACCAGATAGCGCCGTGGATACCAAGGAGTAGAGCCAGAGCTGGCCACCAACGGCCAGCTCCGCTACCAAGTTTAAAGTGAGGTGGTAGGCCCAACCACATACTACGCCCTAGGCGTGGCATCCAACTAACTGTGTTGTATCGTAGTACTGATGGAGCAAAAAATTGACAATGGCCGCGTGAGCGGCAAGACGGCATCTCGAGGGATTGTTTCCGTATCGGTCTATGGCTATGTACCGCAGCGCGGCGCAATCAAATAGGCGGCCGGACGCTAGAGCCTAAACGACCGCGGACAAACGCTCGCTAACTCTCGCCTTTGCCCTCCTTCAGAGTTTGGGAGCCCTCTTGGGGTTCTCTTGGGAACCTCGTGGGGCCCTCTTGGGGCGCTTTTGGGAGCCTCGAGGGGCCCTCTTGGGCCGTCTCGGGGTTCTCTTAAGGGCCTCTTGGGGGTTCTCTCAGGGGCCTCTTGGGTCCTCTTGGGCCTCTTCGGGAGGGGGGAGGGCCTGTAGACCTAGCCCCTCCTCGCCCCTCCCCTGGACCCATGGAGCGCTTCGCCCCAACTCAACGTCATCACTCGTACCTCGTTCCTTTCCGTCACCTGCTTAGAACGGAAACGGAACACGCAGATACTTTGTGAGGGCGCGAGGTCGCTGCTTCGTGTCTTTGAACCCTGCTGGCATTGAGGCCTTGGTACGACATGCAAAAATCTAACCAAAATCCTGGTGGCACTCAATGAAATTGCATTTCTGGGCCTTGCCTTCCGGGGGGTCTTTCTGGTGCTCTTTTGGGCTGCCTTGGGGCCGTCTTGGGCCGTCCTGGTGTTCTTTTGGGCCATTTTGGGGGAGTTGGCCATCTTGTGGCCCTCTCGGTGCCCTTTTGGAAATTTCCTATAGCCCTCTTGGGGTTGTCTTGGGAACCTTTTGGGGCCTTCAGATTTAACCAGGACTCGCTAGGGACCGCCCCTGTCCGGGACCCCCCTCCCCAGGACCCCCCCCGGGCACTGACCCCCGCCATGAAACACGAACGCCCCGGATCGGCGGCACTGTATAAGCGCCGCAATGTCCCTCGGCTGCCTTCAAACGCGGCGTGGACCTGCGCCGCTGCGACCAAAGACACTGTCCCCGAGGCAGAAACGTGGGCGGCGGCCGCTGCCCGCGGGTCGGCGCGGGCCTCGCCGACAGCGGCGAGCGCGGCTCCGCGGCCATGGCGCGCGCCCGCCAGCGGGGCGGGGGCGGCCCATTCCCCGGGGCCTCCCTGCGAGGGTGCGCGGCCGCCGAAACGCCGCGCTCACGCCCGCGGGTGGGAAGCGGGCGGGGGACGCCCGAGAGGCGCCCCTGCCGCGACGAGGAGGGCGCGGGGGCAAGCGACTTGGCGTCTTGCGTTCTTTGGGCCTGTTGGAGGGTTCTCGTCGCCACGGCTGGGCCCGCCTCGTGAAACTGGTCAGAATGCATCCAGGAGGGGTCCGGGGACCGACTTTGACTTGCTTTGGGCTGGAGACCCCAGTCCTTGACCTTGCATGGTTCTCGACTGGACAAATTAGCCTGGCGAAAGAGCCAACCATATGCAGTTGTGAGAACCGCAATTGCGAAGTCTTCGGTGGAGCTCCCTATGGGGCCACGAAGCGTGACGCCTGTGCCGAAATGAGCGGGGGGGGCATGCGGGCGATGGCGCTGGGGCCTTCGTTGGAGCTCCCCTATGGGGCCACGAAGCGTGAGGGGTGTGCCGAACTGAGTGTGGGGGACGCATGAAGGCGGTGGCACTGGGGCCTTCGGTGGAGCTCCCTACCGCGAAACGTGTGAGGGGTCTGCCGAACTGAGTGTGGGAGACGCATGAAGGCGGTGGCACTGGGGCCTGCGGTGAAGCTCCCTGTGGAGCCACGAAACGTGTGAGGGGTGTGCCGACATGGATGTGGGGGACGCGTGCGGGCGGTGGCATTGGGGCCCTGGCTGGAGCTCCCCGGGGGGCCACGAAACGTGTGACGGGTGTGCCGAAATGCGGGTGTTGCCCACATGTGGGCTGCGTCACTGGGGCCCTGGGTGGAGCTCCCTATGGGGCCACGAAACGTGTGAGGGGTGCGCCGAAACGCGGGTGTCGCCCACATGCGGGCTGCGCCACTGTGGCCTTTGGTGGAGCTCCCTGTGGGGCCACGAAACGTTTGAGGGGTGTGCCGAAACAGGGGCATCGCCCACATGCGGGCTGCGTCACTGGGGCCCTGGGTGGACCTCCCCATGGGGCCACGAGACGTTTGAGGGGTGCGCCGAAACGGGAGTATCGCCCACATGTGGGCTGCGTCATTGTGTCCGTAGGTGGAGCTCCCTGTGGGGCCACGAAACGTTTGAGGGGTGTGCCAAAACGGTGGTGACGATGTTGATGATGAGAGGAAGAGGGGGAGGAGGAAGGAACGAGGGAAGGACGCGGGGACTGTCTCTTCAAAACGAAGCCCCAACACCGCAAGATGGTTGGGGAAAATTGGACACACCTCGGGGATCTAGGATCGGGGGCGTCCATCTTCGATGGAGATGCGTCCGAATAGCCCCCCAGTGGTGTATCCATATGGTGTATCCTAATAGGTTTCCCCTCGTTGTCCAACGGCCTGATTGGGGGGGGGCTCGGGATTGGGGGCGAGAGCTCGGCTGTGAGGTAAGACGTAAGCAGGACGAAGACTAACTCGGAAAAAGGTAAACCGGGAATGCTCTCAGTGCCAGCGAGCCTGGAAGACGAATCGGGCGCCGCGGCCGTTCCAGAGCGTGCCAAATATAGAATTGACTGGAATGGAATGGAAAAACTGTCAAGGTGGCCCGCAAGGGGCAGGACTCTACGCGGGGACCTCAGGAGTCGAAGTGCGCCTTCACCGAAGACGATGAAAAATCTGACGTGAGACTGTGCCACTCATCTGCGCCCCAAACAAGACACTGCCACTCGCCCAACCCCCGGTCTCTGCAGCGACTTGAAGGACCCGTAATGCGAAGCGAGCCCGACTCGCCAGCAGCAATCTGCCAGGAAGAGTCTCTCCATGATGTGACGCTGTTCACCAATTCGATAGCGCTCCAGATAGGGCAACCCCGACTTCCTGCCGCCGTGGATAATCGCGACGGGAGGTTCTTGGCAGAGGCCTGACTGACGGGAGGCTCTTGGCCGTGGCCTCAAGGGGGCCCTTCCAGGGCCACGGGGCCGTCAAGAACGGCTCGGGATGAGAAGCCGACCCCTGGGCCGGGGGCCCAGACCGCTACGATCTCCGGTTTGGACACCCCAAATGGGTACCGAAGGAATGGGTACAATGCCCAACAACAAATGTTGTCCCAAACCAACAGCGGCCGCTGTTGGGCAGGCGGCCTTCTGTCTCGAATGGACACAGGCCGCGGCGGCGCGGACAGCGAGTCCTGTTCAAAATGAACAAGAACTGCTGTTGGGCATCGCACCCATTCTTTCCGTGCCCATCTCGTTCGTGCTATCCGGGGAGTCACGAGGAGGGATGAGCACGAGGGCGGATGCCTGGCAAGGCCCAGACACCCCGCGGAAACGACGCAGGCGGGCGGGGGTGGGCCAGAGACGCCAGGGGCGAGGGGCAAAGGGAGTCGTTGTCTCCGCAAGCGTCGTCGTGCTCCTCCTCCTGTTCCTCCCTCCTTCTGGTGACCGTGGTCGTCGTGATCGCCCTCGTCGTAGTCATCCCCCTCCCTACTCCTCCATAGTTGTGACCGTTGTCGTCGTGATCGCCGTCGTAGTCCTCCTCCTCCTCCTTCTCCTCCTCCTCCTCCTCCTCCTCCTCCTCATTCTCTTCCTCCTCCTTCTCCCTGCTCCTCCCTCCGCAGCTCTCGTGACCGCTTTCGTCGTAATCGCCGTCGCAATCGCCGTCATTATCCTCCTCATACTCCTCCTCCCTCCCCCGCTCGTGGTGACCACGGTCGTCGTGATAACCGTCGTAGTCCTCCTCCTCCTCCTCCTCCTCCTCCTCCTCCTCCTCCTCCTCCTCCTCCTCCTCCCCTGGGGGAAACCAAAGAATACCGATAACGCTACTCCCCGGAACTCTCCCGCGGTGCGTGCTGACCAGAATTCCGAGGCGAATCCACCAGTGGCGACGAGGGCCACCCAGGAGGCCCCAAAAAGGGGAAACCTATCCGAGGGTAGCGGCATGGGTACCTTTCCCTCCTCCTTGCTTTCTCACGGGCGCGTGTGAAAGCGGAGCGGCGCAAGTTCGCGACGCCGGTGACAACGGCGCGTGCGCAGCCCGCACCCGACCCCGCGGTTGCGGCCGCGGGCGGCGCGGAGGCTCTCGCCGGTCCCGCTCAGCTTTGGAAAGTGTTTCCTTCGGGTGAAGGAGCTTTTCGTCGCCGATCTCCGCCGGGGGCACGTCGAGGACGGGCACACTTGATTGCTTGACCAACTCAAGAGAAGTCGCACCGCGGCTAAGGAGAAAGGGAGGGAAGAAGAAGGGAGGGGAGCGAAGGAAAAAAAGATAACCAACAGCAAAGCCAGTGACGCGTGGCGCGGCTGGCGGCCGTCACCTGGCGCCCCTGCCTCACGGGCGCCCGTCCCAGCGGCAGCCCGCCCTAGCTGCGCGGACGGGCACACACACACACACACACTTGTTTGGCAGTAGCAGCCTACACACTCAGTCGTTTAACAGAGCAGCCTCGCGCGCGGCGACGAGGCAGAGTAAGTAGAAGCACTAGACGCGTGGTCGCGGCCTGGCCCTTAAGACACGCACACAAACACACTTTTTGGCGTCGCGGCCCTGCGCGCAGCGACAGGGCGGAGGAAGTCGTAGAGCAGCAATCGCGCGCGCGTCTAGAAGCGTCTGAGCCCTCAGAGGCACACAAACACACACACACACATACACACATACACACACATACACACATACACAAACAGCAAGCGCCGCCCACTGGCGCATCAGAACAGCTAGCCTGCAAGGGTGCCATTCAGGGCAGCCAGCACGCAAGACGCACGACAAAACAGCCGAACCTAAGGGGCTCGGGGTGAACTACGTGAGGAAGCTGCTTCCAGCGAGTGCCTCATGCACCGCCCTTTTTTAGACTCACTGCTGGGTCCACATTGTGTTGGGGTATGTCGTGCTCTGTGTTCCTGTTTCTGTATGGGCGAGGGGGAGATCTTGTTTCCAATCCAGTCAGGCAGCCTCCCAACTCCGCAGGTGATCTCCGTTCGAAAAGGCGTCTGTGTTGGGGTGGGTTTCGTTTGGCTTGTCCCCGTCCCCCTTCTCTCTCCCTGGTCCCCCCTGTTGCTGCCTGGGGTCTGGCGGCGGCTGGGGGGGTGGGGCCCGGACCGTGCGGGGCTATTGTTATCATCCCAGTTGCATTTCACGAGGATCCTCGCCATCCCATTGTCCCGCTTGCTCTCGTCCTGCTCTTTGCATCCCGCGTCGTGCAGGCATCACCGCTCAGTCTTGAATTGTATATAGCTATACACATTTAGTTAGACAGATAGATAGTTCGTTGTCTATACATAGCTATATCGATGTATGTGCATATATATATATATATATGTGGAATAAATTTGTATATATATTTATATGCATGTAAATATATGTGTACGACTAGTTAGATCTATGTACGTACATGTGTATATACACATATATATATATATGCATAGACATTTGTGTATACATACATATATATGTACATAGGCACACATATACATGTGTATACATATATGTATAGACGCACCGATATATAGATAGAGGAGGGATGATGAGGAAAGAGGAGGGAGGAGAAGAGAGGGAGGAAAGAAGGGTGCCAGCAACGCCAAATACGAAACGAACTTGAACAAGATCACGAGGCCCGACGAGCCGCTTCCGCCCGGCTTAAAACCTTCGGCCATCTGCCCGAGGGGAGTTTGTCCAGATCCGCCAGCCCCCGTGTGAGGCCACCAGGCTGCGGGGCTGAGGTTTACTGCTTCCTGCACTAGTTCCAGTTTCCAATTTCCAACGTTATTATGGTACTGTCTGCCTCCAGCTGTGCACTGTTGCTGTCCGCGTGGGGGGCGGGGGGGGCCCAAACCGCCCCGTTAGCACCCCGTCCAGGGATTCTCAGAATTCCGGGTGGCCCTGGGACACGTAAAGATACATGAGAGACGCGTCCCCGACGAAATATTCTGTCGTAAATGTACGCCAGATTTGCGCCCCCGAGGCCATGTAAACTATAACATAGTCGCGCTCCCGAGGCAAGAACCCATGTAAATCACGCCAGACTTGCGCTACCGAAACCAAATCCCTTGTAGATTACGCCAGACTTACGCTCCCGAGGGCGACCTCCCCAAGCCTGAATCCCCACTAAATTATGCCAAACATCCTTCGTAACTTACGCCGGATTCGCGCTCCCGAGGACGGAGAATCCTTGGTCAACTACGTCAGGTTCGCGCTCCCGAGACCAGAACCTCATGTAAAATACACCAGCTCTGCGCTCTGAGAAGGAACGCGTTCAACAACACCTCTAACATCTCAAGGTGCTTGCTGAATGCCCACCGTCCTCTGCATAATGTCCCCAGAAATTGTCACAATAGCGCTGGCCACTCCCAACATAGCTCTGACCGTCTCCCATTATAGTATGGATGGGGACGGCGGGAAAGGGCGAATCCTTTACGGATATTCGGCTCCAGTGGGGTTCGGGGCTCGCGTGGAACAGAGTCGTAAGTATCTGACGAGCATGTTCGAAGTCAACTCACGGAAGCGGTTGGTCCCCATGGCGCCCAATAGTGCGTCCAGTAGCGCGCGAAGCGGACGTAACATATCTCCCCCACATGTCACTATTAAGCGCAATTGGGCGCCAATTGGGCTCTGTTTAAGCGCTCTTCGGCGCTATTGGGCCCTAATTACTTGGCGCTATTGAGCGCTAATGGAAGCTCCTCGACAACATACATTCAATCCAAGACGAGCGGGAGCTTCCGTGATTTCCCATCTGGAAACTCGTGCCAAAGAATCTTCAGCACCTGACTGGCAATGACAGCGATCCCAAAGCGACACTTAGCAACTGCAGTGGTGGGGGGGGCCAACGATCGGGGGGGGGTCGGCCCCGCGGGGGAAACATCGACCTGGACTCGGCGATCATCGCCGACAGATCGGCGATAGGCTCCCTATCGCGAGTCCGCACGGTCCTGGGCGGGGTGGGCTATCGGGCCCCTATCTGTGATCAGTGGGCGATTGGGATTCGATGCGTCCTCCCCTGAGCCTATCGCCCCCACAAGGGTTGCCCCCGAATTGGAGATGTGTCGCCCTCCTCCGCCAGTCCCTGGCGGCGAGCGCGACCCCAGCCCGCGCACGGGTTACCGCCCGCGAATGGGGAGGGGCGGGAAACAGAAGCGGCCGCACGGCCGCACGGCCTCCGCCGTCGCCGACGAGGGACGACGGACGACGGACGCACGGCGGAAGGACGGCGGACGACGGCGGACGACGGAGGGCGACGAGCGACGCACGGCGGACGACGGCGGCGGAACGGACGACGGGCGACCGGCGGCGACGACGACGGACGTCGCACGACGGACGAGGACGACGCCGACGGCGAAGACGACGCACGTTGTTCGGCGGCGAGCCTGAGGGGTAAGTGAGAAGGGGTGGGCCTTCTCAAGCGGCTCAGAAGTTCCCGAGCCTTATGAGAAGTTCCCTAAGCCTTCCCCAAAGACACAAACAACTTCTCTGAAGGCGCGAGGGCTTCTGAGAAGTCCCACCGTCTTCTGAAAAGGCCTTTTCCTTGTAATTTCCCCCTCGCTCACCGCCGAGTCGTAAGTCGGACGACGTTCGACGACCGACGACGACGCCGCCGTCGGCGAAGGACGTCGACGACGACGGCGACGAAGCCCGCGTGCCCAGCGCGCGCGAATGGTCTCAATTCTCCTGGTCGAGCAGGCGGACCACCTGGCGACCCGGCCCCCGTCCCGCCCATCCACTTGTGGCACCTGCGGCTTCCGCAATCAGGTCCAGCTCAGCGATCATGGGGAGCCCTGCAGGAGCCTGATTCCCTATAGGATCTCCCGCGCCTTCTTTCCTGAAGCCTGAGCTTCAATTTGGCCATGCCACTCTTGACTCTTTCGATAGTGGTGATCATTGTATACCCTTCCCCATCCCTCCATCCCGTACGCCCCCTCTTCCCCCGCGCCTCCATGCCCCATGCCCTCTTCCCCTCCCTTCCGACCCCCCTGCTCCCCTCCACCCCCTTCCAACCGCGCCTTCTCTCATCGGCCAGCTTCCCGTGCCTTTCCCTCGTGCTGCTCTTCCTCCTGCCATCCCCGCCCCCTTCCCTGACCCCCCGACCCCCCCCCCCTCCTGCTCTTCCTACCCTCCCCTGAGACGCATGCAAGATGAGGACAACCACATCGGATGAGGATAAATCGGAAATCCCTGAGAGCCCGAAGGTCTGGAGGACGCATCGGGCACCACGGCAACTCTCAGAGCGCCCCGAAACGCACTGAGTGCGTGAAGGCTCTGGAGCGATTTATCCTCATCCCAGGCGTGCCCTCCCCCCTCCTCCCTGAGGGGCAACGATAGGGGGGGACTGGTATGGGGAAGGGGGGAACATCGACCTGAAATCGGATAGATCAGTGGGCGATTGAGGGTCCATCCATCCCCCCATATGCCTATCCCCGTCTCTGGTTGAGTCGAAGCCAGGACGAGGATAAATTCGGGTGAAGATAAATCGGGAATCTAACATCAGGCGGCTCTGGAACATGTCGCGGGCGCCACGGCCCTCTCAGAGAGATCCGGATCGCTTCGAGAGCGTTCCAGAACGCTCTGGAACCGATTCATCGTCGTCCTGGCCCCGTCCGACCATTGGTTTTCGGGCCATACCTCGTGCCTCCGGCGGCCGTTCGGGACGACCTGGGCACCCCCCGAACGCCCTCGGCGAGGCGCAACTGCTGGAAGGCATCCCGAGGCTGGAAATGCGCCGAGAACCTCCGAAAGCGCCCGAAAACATTGAACCTCGAAGCCGCCCACGGCGCCGACGCCGAAGCCGGAGCTGCCGCAGACGACGGCGACCGGCGGCCAGGCGGAGGCCTCGTCGTGGCCGTGCTCCCTGGCGAACTCGAGCGCGGAAGGGCCGTCGCCCGCCAGCGGCTCCTCGCGGGGCTGGTGAGGGCGATGGCCACGACGACGAGACGAGGGCGACGATGATGATGATGCTGCTGCAGCAGCTGATGCTGCTGATGCTGCTGATGATGACGATGACGATGATGACGATGACGATGATGACGATGACGATGACGATGATGACGATGACGATGACGATGACGATGATGATGCTGATGATGATGATGATGATGATGATGATGATGATGATGATGATGATGATGATGTTGATGACGACGATGACGATGACGATGACGATGATGATGATGATGATGATGATGATGCTGATGATGATGATGATGATGATGATGATGGTCATGATGATGATGATGATGCTGCTGATGATGATCGTGATGATGATGATGATGATGATGATGATGATGATGCTGCTGATGATGATCGTGATGATGATGATGATGATGATGATGATGGTGGTGGTGATGACGATGACGATAACGATGATGATGACGATGATGATGACGATGACGATGACGATGACGATGATGATGACGATGACGATGACGATGACGATGACGATGACAATGATGATGATGATGATGATGATGATGATGATGATGATGCTGATGCTGATGCTGATGATGATGATGATGATGATGATGATGATGATGATGATGGTCATGATGATGATGATGCTGCTGATGATGATCGTGATGATGATGATGATGATGATGATGATGATGATGATGATGATGATGATGATGATGATGATGATGATGATGGTGGTGGTGGTGGTGGTGGTGGTGGTGGTTGTGGTGGGGATGATGGCATGCGCAGACCTCCTGCACGCCAAGGTCTGGGTGAAGCTGGAGAGAACCAAAGGAGGGGGGTGGGGCAGGACGGGCGCCGCCGCGGCGCCGCAAGGGCGCAAAGGGGCAGCACTTCTGCAGAGCACCCTGGGCGCGGGCATCCTTGGACCGAGGCTCGGGCACGCCGCCCGCCAGGCCTTGGGCTGGCAGCTGGCAGCCGTAAAGACCGAATGGCGTAAACATGTAAACTGTCGGAACTCCGCGCAGACTTTTGGATCGGCGCTGGAGTCCCCTGGTGGCGCTTCCGGCGCCGATCCAAGAAATCCGCGCGGCACTGCAACAATTTTCATACCTCGATTTCCCTTCGAAGCAGGGAGCTGTCACGACGGCCTCTGGGCAGGGCGCAGTGCGCAAGCCAGGCAGGTCACAACGCCAGAGGGACGCCTACCACGCTGGCACACCCTGAAGAGCAGACTGTCTGATTAAGTCTTCGGCCCTCCGAGGTCCTTGAACCAACCATGGCAGGACAGTTTGGGATCCGCGAGACGACGACGACGACAACGACGACGACGACGACGACGACGACGGCGCGAGGGCGACGACGATGCAGACGAGGCCGGCTGCTGCGGCGACGATGACGACGACTTAGACATCCCGCGATGTGATGTTTCCATCCGCGGCCCCAGAATTCCCAACCCTTCTGCGGGGGCAGCGTTGCATCGGTTCTCATTGCGGATCCACTCCTCATGGCCCTGGGGCCAGATGACGGCCTCTCGAGTAGGAGATCGACTAAAATTGATGTACCCCAAACTTGTTTCCGTCGAATCTACGATAACAGTACATAGAATCGATTGTAGATCTACGAACGCTCTACACATGTTCGTAGACTCGTCGAACATGTCAATCTTGGGGTAAATCAATTCTGAAATTGATCTCCTACTCGAATGACGGCTCTAGAAGCCAAAACCAAGCCATGACACCCCAAGATCCAGACAGAAGTCAGCGCGCTCGAGGTCTGGGGAGGGCGACGAGGCCGACGACAGAGCGGCGGCGGCGAGACGACGCCTATTGGCGGCGCGCACCAATGGGGGGACCGGGGAGGGCTTCTCAGGAGGAGGCTGCTTCTTCGAAGGCGCGGGCCCTCAGGCCCGCGCCTTCTTAGAAGTAGGGCTGCTTCTAAGAAGCCCTCCCGTGCCCCCAGCTCCCTCTGCGCGTGGCTTCGGGTCGAAGGATCGCGCCGAGGTCGCCGATGCATCGGCAGTGCATCGACGAAGCATCGGCAAAGCGTCAACGATGCAACAGCGATGCCGGTGAAGAAAAATATGAGCTCCGAGTGGCGTCGCACCGCCCATGTCTCAGCCATACTGCGCGACCTGCCGGCCCCACCTACCCAGACATACGACGTCACCTCGTCTGCTACTTCCGTGGTTCCCCCAAAAACTGGACCCCTTCCGGGGGACCAGCTCCTCGTGCCCCACGGAGGCCGAAAACTGTCAGACGCCTTCCATCGTGACTTCTTCACAACGCAAGGTCGGCTTTGGGGCCATCACTCGGGCCTGCGGCGGCCGTTCGCGACGACTCGGGCACCCCCAAGAGCGCTGTCGGCGAGGCGCAGCTGCTGGCAAGCATCCCGAGGCGAAATGACCTCCTCGTTGTCCTCTTCCCGTTCCTCTCCCTCTCCGCACGGTGACATGGCCTGGCAACGCGGAGGCGGGCAGGAACGGCCGGCAGAGGTTCGTTGCCCCCCCGGTCTGGGTCAGGGGCTGCGGCTCGTAGGCGAACGGACCTCCAAGAATCAAGGGGAACTCCCGAAAATTCCCGAAAGCTTCCCGCCGTGATGCATTCGCGGCGCGAGGGTGCTGCAGGGTAGGGCGCTCGAGCCCCACTCGCAGGGCAAAAGCAGACATGGATTAGGGATCCGTGGATCTGGCGTATGAGTCGGCGGCGCGCCCGGGGGGGGAAATGAGAGGGGGCGGGCCTTCTCAGAAGGCTCTGAAGTCCCCCAGCCTTCTGAAAAAAAGTCCTAGGCCTTCCACGAAGACCCCAAAAACCTCTTAAAAGACTCGGAAACGTCTGAAAAAGTCTCGCCGCTTTTATGAGAAGGCCTTCTCCTTCTCACTTCCCCCCTCGCTCGCCGCCGAATGAGCCCCAAACCCACGTATCAGGGAGAGACCGGTGTGGGAATTCCATGGAGACCCCACGGGAAACATTGAGAGTTTTTTCTGGTGCTTTCCCCCCAGATCCGGGGAGGGGGGAGCTTGGGGTGTTTTTTGGGGGGGTCCGGGGCCCGACATTTGAAAACAATCGTATTTCTGGACAAACACCCATGATCCACCGGAAAAACACAAAAAGCACAAGGAACACATACTTGTTTCTGTTCGGGGGGCTTCCGAAGGCGATCTGTTAAACCCCTTCAAATCGCAATTAGGGCGAACCCCCTGGGGACCCCCCAACTCTGTTTTTGTTCCTTATGTTTTTCTAGGGTTCTTCGGGGTGAAAAACATAAGAAAAAACAGCTCGGAGTATATTATTTGTTTTCTCTGAGGTTTTCCGGGAGGGGTACACCCCAAAAAAACAACTCGAGGGTGTTTTTTGTTTGATGTTTTTCGGTAATTATCCCGGCCCCCCCCCGAACAAAACTCTCATCTCGGCTGTTTTCTTGTATGTTCGCTGCGCTTTTTCGAACATGTTTCTGAATTTGCTACAAGGTTTTCCGGGGGGGGGGGGAACCACCAGAAAAAAAAAAACAACTCGGTGGTTGTTCGGTAGATTTTCTTGTGTTTTTCGGTGGTTCTGGAGCCCCACACTTAAAAACAAACCTATTTCAAAAAACCCTTGGGAAACCACCGGGGAAAAAAGAAACCCAAACTCGGGATTTGTTCGATGGTTTTTCGGGTGTGTTTCGGGCGTTTGTCGTTGATCTTCCGGGGGGAACCCCAGAAAAACAACCCAACTCTGATGATTTTAAAATTATTATCCTGGTGTTTTCCTTGGGGGGGAACCTCCGAAAACCCCCCATCTCGGGAGTTTTTGCGCAAGGTGTTCAAATGTTCTGGGGCCCCACAATACGTGAAAAAACAATACTATTTGAGAACAACCCCCAGGAAACACCCGAAAAACACCCACATCGGAGGTTATTATCTGGTTGTTTTATGTTTGTTATTGTGTTTCTGTGGTTTTCCGATGTTCTTCGGGTGCTTTCCCGGGGGGGGAACCTTCGAAAAACAATTCTCACATTTTTAGAAAGTGGTTATTGTGCTTTTCTGGGTGGGAACCTGCGACAAAAAACATCTCGAAAGTTGTTATGCAATGGTTTCGTCCGCGGTTTTTTCCGGAGGGGAGAATTCCCGAACATTCCTCCATCTCGGCAGTTGTTTGAATGCTTGTCGGTTGTTTTTCCGAGAAGGGAGAACCACCGAAAAACCCTCCAACTCTGAGGTTGTTCGGAAGTTCTTCGGCACCACAATGAAAAAAACAATAGTATTTCAAACCCCCCCGGGGAAACCTTTGAAAAAAACCTAAATGGGTGTGTCTTCTGTTGTTTTCTGGTGGTGTTTCAAAAAGGTTTCTCCGGGGAGGGAAACCCTCGACAACCTTCACAACTCAAATTATTGTTTCTATATTTTTTCTCCGGTTTTGGGTCCCACAATTAGAAACAATACGACGTCAGAAAACCATCTGGGAAACCCCACAACAAAAAAAACTCAGTTTTTGTTGTTGTGATTTCTCTGAAATTTGTCCGGAGGGGGGAACCTTTGAAAAACCTCCCAACCTGGGAGCTTGTCTGTGTTATTTCTGGTGTTCTGGGGCCCCACAGTTAAAAACAAAACAATGTCAGAAAACCTCCTGGGACACCTCTCAACGACGGGGTCGTTCGGGTGGTTTTTCCGAAGAGGAAACCCCGAAAACCTCCCCAACTCGTTTTTGTTCCCTGTGGGTTTCTGGGGGTTCTGGGGCTCCACAATCAAACAACCAACTATGTCAGACAACACCGCGGGGAACTCTCGAAAAAAACAAAGCTAGTTTTTGTTTATGGTGTTTGTCGGTTGTTTTTCGGCGTGGAACAACTCAGGTGTTCCCCCAGGACCCTCGATTTGGACTTCTTTTCGGGAATTGCCCCCGGAAGAACTCCGGAAAAAACAACGGGAACTCAAGAAAAAACAACAACTCAGAGTTGGGCTTGTTTTTCTGAGGTTTCCGGGTGGGTTTTCTGAAACAAGTATGTTTTTAATTGTGGGGGCCCAGAACACCAGACAAATCATCACCAAAAACTAGAATTGGATGGTTTGTCGGCGGCTTCTCCTTCCCCCCCGGGGAAACCCCCGAGAAACCAACCGAAACAACCCCGAGTTGGGAGGTTTTTCGGGGGCGCCCCCCCCCCGGGAAAACCTCAGAAAAAACACCCGAAAGACCCCCGAAATGGGAAGTTTTTCGTGATCTTCCCGGGAAGTTTTCTGAAATAGTCTTACGTTCACTGTGGTGCTCCAGAACCCCCGAATAACCATGGAACAACCGCCGAACAGTGTGTTTTTTCGGTGGTCCCTCCCCCCCCCCCCGGGAACACCACAGAAAAACCAACCGAAAAATCACAAGAAAAAAACAGCAGAAAAGCCACAGAAAAAAAACAACTGAGTTGTTTTTTTCTCGGTGGCTTCCCAAGGTGTGTTCTGCCAAAATTGTGTTTGTAAGTGTCGGGCCCCAGATCCCCTGAAACACGTTTGGAAAACTCCTGAGTTTCCTCCCAGGAAAACACCAAAAAGAAAACCCTATTTTGTGGGAGGGTTTCCATCCCCGGAGAAACCCGGAACAACACGCAACAACAAACAGACAAACGCAGAGTTGTTGGTTGTGTTGTTTTGCTTTGTTCTGGCGTTCCCCCCTAGGAAAACTCCAGAAGAAACACCCGAACACCCCCCGAAATGTTTTGATTTGTTTCTGGCTTTCTGCCTCCCAAAAAGACACCAGGAAAACAACAAAAGAACTAGTTGTTTTTTCGGGGGCAAGGAAAATCACAGACAAAAAACCCCAAACACACCCGAGTTGGGTGTTTTTGTTCTGGGGTTCCCCCCCCCTCCCGAAAAAAAGCATACAAGCAGAAACCGAACAGTCCCAGAGTTGTGGTTTTCAGGTGTCCCCCTCTCAGGAAAAAACAATCAAGTTTTTGTTGTTTTGTTTTGTCTCGGCCCCCGGAAAGCAATAGAAAAACAACAATCTGTGTTTTGTTGTTGTAATTGTTTTGGTTCTCGGGTTCCCCAGGAAAACCACCGAACAACTCCCTCTGAAAAAACCCGAGTTGGAAAAATTTTCCGGAGTTCCCCTCCCAAGAACACCTCTGATAATACAACGAATTGGGTCGTTGTTTTCGGTGGTCCCCCCCTCCCGGAAAACCATAGAAAAAAACCCTCGTCGAACCCCTCGTCGAACCCCCCCATGGAGGGTTCCCAGGTGGGTTCGACGAACTGCCACACCCAACTGACCAGGGAAAGCAGCGCCCGACACACGAAGCCAGTGCAGCCTGCTTTGGCGGCGGAGCGCGCCCAACTTGCACGGAAGCGCGACCCGTCGCAGAGCCATGATGCTCCATAACCACCGCCTGCGAAACCGACGTCCTGGGACCCAGGCGGATGGTGGACACGGATGTGTTTGAATCCACGAGGGCCCGAACACACCCACATCCGCAGCCTGTCGAGGCCCTCGAAGATCGATCCCCCGAGCTAAAATTGGATAAACCCCCGCCTCGGAGCGATTGCATTTCCTCGAGTCGTCGCTTGGGAGGCCGAGGCCTGGAGCGACGGGAGGGCCAAGGGCGGGGAAGCTCAGAATCGAATCGCCAAATCGGATCGGCGATCGAAAGGAATCGGAGTGGCGGAGATCGACAGCCAAGCTGGGATGGCCACGAGGCTGCTCTAGGGCGGTTTCTTCTAAACCCCTATACTACTGCTTTCGGTCTTCGGCCGAGGCCGTCTAGGCCTTTAGGCAACCTGTCGCCGTCAACAACAAGAAGTTGGGAGAAATCGGAAGTCGGACAAGGCCTCCGCTGCGGCATCGGAATAATCCACATCGGCAGATCCGAAGTCCAAATTTGGCGGCGCGCAGAGGGAGGCACGGGGAGGGGCGAGGGCATCACAGCAGGAGGCTGCTTCTTCGAAGGCGCCAGACTTACATCTATATGCAAGGCCCCCGTCTTCTAAGAATCAGAGGTGCTTCTGAGAAGCCCTCCCCCCTCCCTCCCCACCCCCCTCTGCGCGCGGCTGAACATCTGCAAATCCGAAGTCGAATCGCATCGGAATCGGAAGCCACCGCAATCGAATCGACTCGAGCCGGGGGAGCCCACATGAGCACTGCAAGGGGCGGCCCCCCCCGCGGAGGCGGTCCCGGCTCGCGCCCCCGCGCAGCAGCGCTCGCACCATCGCGGCGTGGCCCCGCTGGGCTCCGCGGTCGACGGCCGGCCCGAGGAGAGCCCCTCGTCGGCACCACCGCCGTCGGCCGCAGTCGCCGCCGCCGCCGCCGCCGGTCTGCCTCGTCGTCGTCGTCGCCGCGGCAGCCGCCGCGACATTGCGGTCGTGCCTCGTCGGCCGCCGTCGTCGCAGTAGCCGCCGCGGCCGTCGTCGTCGGCCTCGTCGGTGGTCGTCCGTCGTCTAGGGGTCTCGGGTCGTCAGCGTCGTCGTTCGTCGTCGTCGCCCTCGATCTCGCTGGCGTCGGCGCTGGCCTCGTCGCCACCGCCGCCGTCGGCATCGTCGTCACTCGTCGTCGTCGATGGCATGATCGACGATGTCGTCGTCGCCGCTGCCGCCGACGTCGCTGGCCTCATCGTCGTCGTCGTCGTCGACGCTGTCGTCGTCGATACCTCGAGATTTGCAGGTGTTCTCTGGGGATCCGGATTGTTCTTGCTCCCCAGGCAGGGGTATGTACCCCTTCCCAAGGAGCAGATCTTCGTCCGGGGCCATCGTCTAAACGGCCTACGGGACCCTGCAAGAGTGCGGCGTAGGAGGTGGGATAGGGTCAATATGTGAGGGTCCTGGGGCCCGAACCCAGGCGAAAACGCCCCATGTGAAAAAACAAAGCGCCTGGATCTGAGGGCATGTTACCTTGATTCAACGAAACCGATGTGTCAGGGGCCCCTGGAGGGTCGAGGATTGCCCAAAACACTCCGTCGTTCTGCTGCTCGCGACGCGCGAGTGTCGGGACGGCCCCAGGAGGGCCGGCCAGCCGACCACGGCTGCTGGCTCGCCACGGCCAGCGGCGTGAGGCTGTCCTGCCAGGCCTAGCGGCGTGGGGAGGCGGGGACACAGTCATCGCGTATGGAACGCTAAGGAAAGAAAAACGCAGTCTGAAGCAAATCAAGAGGAGGAATGGGGAAGGGCAAGGCGATGCAGGCGCCTGCAGGCATGGGTGCGGGGTGTGGGTGGGATCCCGAGGGGGGGTCCCGTTCGAGCAGGGACCCCCATCCGACAAAATAGGTATGGGAGCTGGTTGTCAGCTCATGATGTCTGGCCTCGGCGAGCCTTGGCCACGAACTGGTGCACCGACCCCGATCTAACAACGGCCCGAAAGCCAGAGTCCCTCCTCGGCCCAAAAGAAGGGTCCTTAATTCAGCGTCCTGGCTTCAGTGCGTCTGTTGGCTTCCTCATAGCTCAGCGAAGACTTCTCGGATGTGCGCTGGGCCCCCATCCCTGGCGCGCGAAGCGAGTCAACGGCAGCAACTTGGGGCGCCGCCCGGAGCTGCTGCTACCCCCACCTGCTCCTGCTCCTGCTGCCTCATACTGCTCCTCTTGCCATCCCTCCTCCTCCCACCTCCTCCTCCTCCTTGATACCTCCTTCTCCTTCTCCTTCTCCTCCTCCTCCTCCTCCTCCTCCTCCTCCTCCTCCTGTTCCTCCCTCCTCCTCCGCCGAGGCGTATTAGCCCCGAACTGGCCCGACTGCTCGATCGATCCATCGTGCTCTCAGGCGAGCGGGAGGAGGCATGAAGAACGAGAGAAGGAGGTCCAGAGTGAAGGAGCAAGGGTCGGCACGCAGTTGCCTGACGGCACAGCTCTCCGCCTGGACTGACGTGGAATCCCGGTCAGGCTCGCAGCCGCCCGGGGGCTCCGAGTGTGGGAGTCGAAGAAATCGTCCCTTCTTCGGAGAGGGGGGGAGGCGAGGCGGAGGACGAGGAGGAAGGGGGAACGGGAAATTCGGTGGGGGCACGGGGAAGAGGAAGGACGGGGGAGAAAAGGGGGGGAGGACAGGCAGGGAACAGGAGCCGTAAAGGCATAGGGAGGAGGGGGGAAGAGGAAGGTGGATGGGGTAGATAAGAGAAGAGAGAACACAGAAAGATATGAGAGTGTGGTAGGGGCGTGGTGAGTTCCCTACACGAGCGCCACAAAGTGATTCGTTCAGTCTGCAAACCTCCCAACGCAGAAATTCGCCGACACTGTCGGCGTGTGGAAGACGCGCTTCCGTTCGTCGTCGTCGTCGTCGTCGCCATCGCCGTCGCCGTCGCCGTCGCCGTCGCCGTCGCCGTCGCCGCTGCCGTTGCCTTCGCCGTCGCCTCGGCGTCGTGGCTCCTCCCCTTTCCCTGGGCCCGTCTTACTTCTCAAGCGCGCCAGCCAAAGCGAAATTGAGCAACGTCGCAGCTGAGTCGAAGGGAAGCCCCTTCCCTTGGATCCCTTCCCCGCTGGGGGGGGTCCATGGGGAGGGGTCGAGGGGGTCCTGGGGGGTCCCGGGTCAGAATACCATTCCCCCCAGAGGGGTCCCGGGGCGTAAACAACCCCAAGAAGGTCAAAGAGTGCACTTAGAGGCCTCCAAGACGGTCCAAGATGCCAGCGCATCGCCGAATTATCCGCCCATGCGCCGCAGATGGCCTCCAGACGGTCCAAGACGCCTCCCAGACGCGCCACGAGGCCTCCAAGAGCTCTCCGAAAAAGGTCTCAAGAGGTTAAAATCATAGAAGTTCGAATGTCTTCGAAAGATTTTGGTGCTCTCGTCTTCTCGGCTTCCCGACGCTCTATGACGGCCCATGAAGCCTCCACGATCGCCCCAAGATAGCCCCAGAAGTCTCCACGAGGGCCCTGAATCGACCCAAGAGGGCCCCCAGACAACCCAAGAGGCTCCAAGACAGCCCAGGAGGCTCCCAAGACGGCTCCCAGAGCGTGCCCACACAAGGGACTCGCAACCTTCGGCCCCAGAGCCTCCCGGACTGAAGGGGGGATTGCAGAATGGCATGGGGAATGGACTGGGGGGATCGGCGGGGTGGGCATGTGAGTGGAGCGGAGGTGGGCGATGATCTACTAAAAAGGGTGCCAAGGTGTAATCGGGCGCCGCGTCGGCGAGCATGTAGTTACGTATTTGATCATGCAGGCTACGGCGGGAGGGGCTAAGGGGGGATAGGGCGAGTGTGGAAGGGGGGGAAGTGAGAGGAGGGAGAGGAGAGGAGAAGGTCTGGCGGGAGACAGATGCTCAAGGATATCTGCAGCCAACTGAGCCCCTGCTGGGGGGTCTCAAACCCAAGCATCGATCTGACCTGCAAGGGTAGGGGCCAAAAATGGTCGCAGAGAAGGAGAACAGCGGAGGGAGAAGGGCAACGTCCATACAGACAGCGGCGCGCATCATCGAACCCGTCGAATCGTAGACAGCGCGCGCTCTGCCAGTCTCAGCGTGACCCAGAGAACGAAGGCCGACACCCCGAAACCCATGCCTCTGACTACTGAGGTACTAATCGAACCGAGGGCCCCCAAGCATCTCGACTCGACATCTTCCTCAAGACCGGCCGGCCTCTCGACCCCATTCACTGGGCCGGTGTTCCATCCCGGGTCGCGGCTTGAATGCTCCAAGGCACAGAGACGGCTCATTCCGAGGTGCATCAACGAAAATTCGAAGCAGGACGACAACGACGAAGACACGAGTACAGAAGGTGAAGCGGCTCCTGGGAAGTTGCAACTTGTCAAACAACTCTTCCGGCGATTGTTTGTTCGATGCGCAGGGGCGGCATGTTGGCACGCCCGGAATGGGACCAGCATGAGCAGAGACGATGCCCAACAGCAAGTGCTGTCCGACGCAGGCAGTGGATGCTGTTGGGCCTATGGTGTGCGCCAGCACATGGATAACGTTCGCCTCGACGCTGGCAGCGAACCCAGTCCAGAACTGACAGGAACTGCCGCCAGTCATCGCTCCCTGGGGAAACCACACGATGCCCATACTGGTACTCCCTGCACCTCTCCAGGGGTGTGTTCCCACCAAAACTTCGGGGCGCATCCAACGGTGGCGACGAGGACTTCCAGGAGGCAAAAAAGCAAAAACGAGACGGGGTGGCGGTATCGCTACCTTTTCCTCCTGGGAGCCCTTCCTCCCAAACCGTTCGCTGGACGGCCGCAGGGCTCGCGTTCGGACCTCCGAGGGCCCGAAGACGGCGGGAAACCTGTGGAGGGCCTCGTGCCCCTCCAGGACCCGCCGCCCCGCGCGAGGCGGCCCGGAGAGGGAGGGCGGACGCGGGAGGGCCTTGTTCGCGTCCGCGCGGGCCTCGACGAGGATGGAGCCGACCTCCTCGAGGCCCTGGTGGGCGGCCACGAAGAGCGGCGTGGCGCCGTCCTGGCCCCGCCCCTCACACTCTCAGCCGCGCAGCGGCTCCGGGGTTGAGGAGGGGGGAGAAGGGGGGAGGGGGATAGGCGAGAGGCAAGCTGGGTGCGCTCGCGTCAGATCTGTCGTCCCCAACCCTCACCATGGCGCCGATCTCTTCTTGACGCGCACAGGCTGATGTCGAACGAGGCATAGCATGGTGTAGAAGAGCGCGGCAGAGCAGAACATATCATATATCATAGCATGGCTTGGCGTTGCGTAGTGTAGCATTGCACCACAAAGCGTACGGTAACATCGCAAAGCATGGCATCGCACAGCGGAACACAACGCAACATCGCATTGCATGCCATGGCATGGCACCTGATGCCTTGGAAGGTAAATAGCCCGTGTACGAAAAGAGAAGGCCTGTCCAGAATCCAGGCTCCATGTCCTGCGCCACCGTGCCTGCCCGATGTGGGCGCTCCTCTCGAATGCCAAGTGCCGTCTGGTAGGGATACTGTACTAGTGTAAGGCCCTCCCCCTCCTTTCGACGCGCTGCCTTGCGTTCCCTGAACCTCCTTCCAAGTCTCCCTGGCTTCCCCGGACTGCTCTGCACGAGGCGTTACAGATGGCCCGAAGACCTCTGGAAACTCCCAGGAACGCGCAGACATTGCCGACGGCGACAAAGACGCAGACGACGACGGCGGCAGGGGAAGTCACTTCCGACTGTTTTTTCGGGGGACATGTTTTTAGATTTTGCGGCCTATTTGAGAGGACCTAAAACCATGCCGAGGCATGGCGCTGGAAATAATGAATCCAACGCTGCCGCGGGAGCGCAATTCGGAACGAGCGGAAACACGGAAATGAGGCCAGCGCTGCAGCGGGGGACGCGTAGCCTGACATAGCATGGCGTGGCGACGCCCCAAATGGGGGGGGCTTCTGCGGCCTCACAAATCAACGAATCGACACCGACTGTGTAATCACTTCCGATTATTTTCGGGGAACATTTTCTAGATGCTGGGGCCTCTTAAAAAAAAAAAAAAAAAAAAAAAACGAAAACCATGCCGTGGCATGGCGCTGGAAATCATGACGCCAGAGCTGCCACGGGAGCGCGATTCGGAACGAGCGGAGGCGCGGAAATGAGGCCAACGCTGCAGCGGGAGCACGATATGGAACGAGCGGTAGCCCGAAAATGAGGCCAGCGCTTCAGCGAGAGCAGCATTTTGACAAAAACCAAGCGAAAACCAATGTCCAGGGAATCCTGCGTAGAAAACCAATACGCGGAGGGAGGCCGAATATTTCCCGGATGCCACCACGGGAACGAGGGGAGTAGTATTCATATTGTGTAAATGTGGAGAGGAGGGGGCGGGGACAGAGCGGGGGTACCAGGGGGGGGGAGAGGCAGCAAGGGGAGATGAGCCAGGAGGGAAGGTTGAATGGAGCCGTTTTTTTCTGACATCTACTGCCACTGGGACAGCTCAAAGGCGGCCTACGCCGCATGCCCGTCAAATCGGCAGTTACCCCCGATCTCTTGGGATGGAAGCGGCTGCAGAGCTTGGACCAAACTTCCTTGCGTCTCGCATCGCCAGCAGACCAGGAGTTGTTCTCCTTTGTCATGGCCTGCAGACGCACCAGAACAACCAGGACCACCAGCTGAGTTTTGAGAACCCCCCGGCAAGAAACTCAGATTCGAGGGCAACCGCCTGGGCCACGAGGGCCGCAAGCAACGTTACGAGATCACCAAGCAGAACCGCGAGAGCTAGCAACTGAGCTACGAGGGCCACCAGCAGAGCTCCGCCGGCAGGAAGAAGAGTTCCGAGAACCACCTGCAGAGCTACGACGGCTACGAGCGAAGCTTCGAGAGCCGCCAGCTGAGCTAGGAGGGCCACCAGCAGAGCTACGGCGGCAGGAAACAGCGATACGAAAACCACCAGGAGAGCTACGAGGACCACCAGCAGAGCCACCCTGGCAAAAATCTGACTTTCGGGGGTCACCAACTGAGAACTACGACGGGCAAGGACACGGATTTCGAGGGCCAACAGCAGAGCTACGAGAGCAACAACATAAGCTGCGATATCAACCAGCTGATAACTGGCGAAGCGCGGCTGACCCCGCCAGCAGCATGACCTGCTACTACTACTACTACTACTACTACTACTACTACTACTACTACTACTACTACTACTACTACTGACTACTGACTACTACGCTACTACTACTACTACTACTACTACTACTACTACTACTACTACTACTACTACTACTACTACTACTACTACTACTACTACTACTACTACTACTACTACTAACTACTACGACTACTACGACTACGACTACTACGACTACTACTAGGACTACGACTACTTCTACTTCTACTACTACTACTACTACTACTACTACTACTACTATTACTACTACTACTACTCATAATAATAATAATAATAATAATACTGCGACTACTACTACAACTACTACCACTGCTACTACTTCAAGTGCTGCCACAACTATTACTACCACTACCACTACCACTGCTACTGCTACTACTAGTACAACTACAACTACAACAACAACAACAACAACAACAACTACTACTACTACTACTACTACACAAGAAAGACGACGACGACTACTACTACTGAAACTGCTGAGAAGCCTCTTCAGAGGCGGGGAGGGGTTCTTTCGAAGAAACTCGCCGCCGCCTCCGTACACGGCCGCCCCCCTCGCACCACCCCCTAGGGCGCGCCGCAACCAGGGCACGGAAGCATCCTTGACCACTCTGCACGTTCGGCCGCTCTCCGGCTGCGACCGAGAGGCTCCGGGGACGACCCCGCCGCGCTGGCGAAGCACGGGGCAGCACGCGTCCGTGGAGGTCTTCTCCATGTCGGCACTGCGCTCGCACAGCAGCCTGACGATTTTCGCGTGCCCCTTCTGCGTCGACACGAACAGCGGCGTGGCACCGTTGTGCCAGGCCTCGGCATGCTCGTCTCTGCCATCCTTATCACCCGAGAGTCCAGAGCTGATCAATGTCCCGAAGATCGGCAAGCCCAAGACGGTGACGATCCTAAAGATGCGCCCTCAGAAACTAACGAACTCCTGGAGATCGGCACCGCGAGTGTGATGCCAATCGCCAGGATAAGGATACGTAGCACCCCGCAGATGCGGATAAGAGTGAGGGGCCTGTGGGGACGTCGGCAGTCTGCGAGACTCTGGAGAAGCCTGCCGCAGGCGCCAAACATTTTACAAATTATACAACGAGCCCGCCGCAGGCGCTAATTTTTGTTCACTCTTCAAACCAATGTGGATCGGTCGCGGGTGGTTCGTGGATGGGTCGCGGGATGGGTCGCGGGATGGGTCGCGGGTGGGTCGCAAGTGGGTCGCGGGTGGGTCGCGGGTGGGTCGCGGATTGGTCGCGGGGTGGGTCGCGGGTGGGTCGCGGGGTGGGTCGCGGGGTGGGTCGAGGGTGGGTCGCGGGTGGGTCGCGGGGTGGGTCGCGGGTGGGTCGCGGGTGTGGTCGCTGGTGGGTCGCGGGTGGGGTCGCGGGGTGGGTCGCGGGGAGGGTCGCGGGGTGGGTCGCGGGTGGGGTCGCGGGGTGGGTCGCGGGGGGGACGACGACAACAACAACAACAACCACCAACCAACCAACCAACCAACCAACCAACCAACCAACCAACCAACCAACCCAGCAACAACAACAACAACAACAGCAACAACAACAACACCAACAACACCAACAGCACCAACAACACCAACAACACCAACAACAAAGCATCCCAGTGCGACCCTACATAGGAGTTGGAGCCCCTAGGAAAGCAGCATTAGTACGAACAGTAAAGCTAAAACTGAGCTAAAGCTAAGTTAAAACTAAACTAAAGCTAAGCTAAAGCTGAGCTAAAGCTAAGCTAAAGCTGAGCTAAAGCTAAGCTAAAGCTAAGCTGAAGCTGACCTAAGCTAAGCTCAAGGTAAGCTAAAGCTAAGATGAAGCTAAGCTAAAGCTAAGCTAAAGCTAAGCTAAGGCTAAGCTACGGCTAAGCAAAACCTGAGCTAAAGCTGCGGTAAAGGCTAAGCTAACGCTAAGCTAAAGCTAAGCTAAAGCTAAGCTAAAGCTACGGTACAGGCTAAGCTAACGCTAAGCTAAAACTAAGCTAAAGCTAAGCTAAAGCTAAGCTAAAGCTAAGGTGCAGCTAAGCTAAAGCCACGCTAACGCTAAGCTAAAGCTAAGCTAAAGCTAAGGTACAGCTAAGGTACAGCTAAGCTAAAGCTAAGCTAAAGCTAAGCTAAAGCTAAGCTGAAGCTAAGCTGAAGCTAAGCTAAAGCTAAGCTGAAGCTAAGCTAAAGCTAAAACTAAAGCTAAAACTAAGCTAAAGCTAAAACTAAAACTAAGCTAAAGCTAAGGTGCCGCTAAGCTAAAGCCAAGCTAAAGTTAAGCTAAGGCTAAGCTAAAGCTAAGTTGAAGCTAAGCTAAAGCTAAGCTAAAGTTAAAGCTAAGCTGAAGCTAAGCTACAGCTAAGCTAAAGCTAAGCTAAAGCTAAAGCTAAAGCTAAAGCTCTCAGGGGACTGGGGGAACCGCTCCCAGGGGACTGGGGGAACCGCCCGGGGCGGTTTACACTGCCCGCCCCTTTAAGCTAAGAGAGTAAGAACCCTTCTAGGCAGAGCCTATGTAGGGAACAACAACAACAGCAGCAACATCAACAGCAGCAACAACAACAAACACAACGACGATAACAACAACATCAACAACAACACCAACAACATCAGCAACAACAACAACAATAACAATCACAACAACATCAACGACAACAACAGCGCGATAAGCAGAATCCTCACCACGGATTTGTCACTTCAGCCACGCACCCAAGGACAATGAATGACCCTTCGGCCCCCTCACTCTGATGTTTTAGGCTGGATACCTTGGCGCGCCGCGCCGCCTGAACGCGAGAGAGCGCAACCGCAACAGATTACCAGAGAAATGTTTTCGTCCCCGCACGGTGGTTTCTGTTTTGCCGAAATGGGGGCATGCACGCGACCGCGGGGCTGCATCTGGCCCGCGGGCAGGAGGGGCGGCAGTCGGATATCAACACCAATGTCAAATTCACGCTGGTCGGACGACCCAATCGGCGTGTCACTGGAGAGCGACCAAGCCTTTGTCAAGGAAAAACGCCAGACGAAGGACCCAACCATATACAGCTGCGCGTACCGCGAGGGAGACTAGAGGAAGGAAGGGAGCACGCAGACTCCGAATAGCGTACGCAATACAGCCTCTGCTCTCGTAAACAACGCTCGCCACCGAACGTGTGAGGAATGCACCGACATGAGTCGAGCGGACGCGTGCAAGAGTCGCCACTGGGGCCTTCGGTGGAGCTCCCCATGGGGCCACGAAGCGCCGCACTGGGTGGGGCAGACGCCGCCATTGGGCACTTCGGTGGAGCTCCATATGGGACCACGAAACGCTGTACTGGGTGGTCCGGACGCATGCGACCTTCGGTGGAGATCCCTATGGGGCCACGATGCGACGTGGGGCATACGCATGCGAACGCTGCCACTGGGGCGGACGCATGGAGGCGGACGCATGCGAAAGTCGCCATTGGGGCCTTCGGTGGAGCTCCCTTTGGGGCCACGAAACGCTGTCCTGGGTGGGGCAGAGGCATGCGAACATCGCCACTAGGGCCTTCGGTCGATTTCCCCATGGGGCCGCGAAGCGTTGTATTGGGTGGGACGGACGCCTGCGAACTTCGCCACCGGGGCCTTCGTCGCAGCTCGCCATGGGGCCACGAAGCGCTGTACTGGATGGGGCGAACGTATGCGAACGTCGCCACTGGGGCCGTCGGTGGGGCTCCATATGGGACCACGACGCAATGTCAGGAGTGGGGCGGACGCATGCGAACTTCGCTACTGGGGTCTCTGGCAAGGCACCCTATGGGGCCACGAAGCGCTGTATTCGGTTGGGAGGACGCACGCAAACGCCGCTAGAGCCTTCGGTGGAGCTCCCTGTGGGGCCACCACGCAACGCTGTACTGGGTGGGGCGGACGCATGCGAACGTCGCAATTGGGCTTTCCTGGAGCTCCCCATCGCGCCACGAAGCGCAGTTCTGGGCGAGGCGGACGCACGCGAACGCCGCCAGTGGGGCCTTCGGCGGAGCTCCTTATGGGGCCACGACATGCTGTACTGGGTGGGGCGGACGCATGCGAACGTCGCCACTTGGGACACCATTGCCGGGACCCTGCGCCAGACCCCAACATTCACTCTTCAATGTAGGCTGCTAAGGGATCCCCCACCCCCCCGATCACACCAACCTAACTGCATCGCCTCTATTACTGGGGATCCCTGGGCGGTCATGGCGCTTCCCTGGGGCCCTCCAAAGCTTCCATGACGGCCCAGGAGGCCCCGAAGACGGTCCAAGAGGGCCCCAGGTCGCCGAACGATCGCTCGAAGACGCCCAAGATGGCCTCAAGATGGTCCATGGGGCCTCCAAAACGCTCCAAGAGCCCTCCAAGAGGCCTCCTAAGAGGCAGAAGCCGTTGATTTTCCATCGGTTTCTGGAGGATTTGGGCGTTCCCGCCTTTTTCGGCATCCCGACGCTCCTAGACGGCCCACCCCCCCAAAAACGCGCTAAAGAGGCCCCCGATCCGAGCATCGCCACCATCTCGTAGATTCAAGAACGAAGGGAAGGGTCTGCGTCGCCGCGGAGCCTGGTTCTTGTCAGCGCCGGCGTCGCAGAGGACCTCAACGATCTCGGCGTTCCCCGTGAACGCCGCAAGCAGCATGGGGCTCGCCCCGTCCTCGGAGAGGGGGGACGAACAGGGGGGAAGGGAGGGGGGGACGAGGGAGGAGGAAACAGGAAGGGGGGAAGGAGGGAGACGGGAAGGAGGAGGGGGGACGCGGTGAGAGCGGGGAGGCGGAAAGGAAGAATGGGAAGGAGGGGGAGGGAAAGACAAAGAGAGCAAGGGGGAGGCAGAGGCGTGCAATCCGAAAATGGGAGGGAGAGACGAAAGCAGGTGTCTTTGGATGTTATGGTGGCCATAAGCGGGCTGTTGTAGGGAGTGCGGAGGACGATGCTGCAGCCTGGCTTCTGTGTCCTGACTGGTGGCCGGGGCAGCACATCGGGAAAATAATCCACCTAAACTCCAGGCGAGGTGGGCAAGGATGCGAAGCTGTAGGCCGCCCTGCGATAGACACGCCGGTGCCAACAAATTTTCAAATGTCTGCAGCGCTACCAGCGCAACGCCGAAGCCAACGCGAATCAACATAACAATGGGACTGAAGACTGGTATATAACCGGCGATGGCATCGCGATCGATTCCGTTAACGGGTGGCCGCCGACCTGCTGTTCGCAACCCTTGGTCGTGGGGTCGGCAATTTCCAAATCTGTATGGTGTGTATGTTTTGCCCTCGCGCCGCTTTTGTTGTTTCTGTGGAAATCCTTCCAGGACATCGAGTCGGTCGAGAATCGTTTAGCATGCGCGCTAGCCGACATGTCGACCGCGCCGTGTCACTGTGCGCTCTCGATGCTGCCACGCAACATAAGCTGACGTAGCCATATCGCATGTCCTAGGCAATCATTGATCCAGGGAGCCTTGTGAATTGACTCGGCGTCGATGGCCTGAATGCCACGCTGTTTGGTAGTGTAGCATGTCTATACGAAGTTCTGCACACACATCAGCATGAACGAACCGTGTTTGACCTTACGTCGGTCGGATGTGGTCGCACTGCCTTCATCCATTCCGCGCGCGATTGCCTAGCATTCCACCAGCCCTCTGGGCGTAGGTGGTCTAGGGCCCTTCGGGGAGGGCATTACCCTCCCCCCACCTCCTTCCCTGGACGTGGACGGGCGGCGTTGCGGCCTCTTGGGGGGGGCAGGGCTAGAATACCCCACTTATTTGATCGATGTCCTCCAAACTGGCCCAAAGAAGCGCCCAAGAGGCCCCAAGATAACCCCAAGACGCCCCCAAGAGGCCCTTAGGAGGCCCCCCAAAAGACCCCAAGCGGCCCCCCGAGACACCCAAAACGTCCAAGAACCTTCCAGGACCGTCAAAAGACCCTTCTTGCGCCCAAGAGATCTCCCAAAAGGCTCCGAGAGGCATCCAAGAGACCTCTGGCCCTTTGGCTCACCCTCCTCCTCCTGCTCCCCTTCCCTCCTCCTACTCATTATATTCCTCCTCCTCCTCCTCCTGCTTTTCCTCCTCCTCCTCCTCCTCCGATTCACCCTCCGTCCCCCCATTCCCGCATCGATCCATCCAGCCTCTTCCTTCTCCTCCTCCCACCTTCGCGCGGTTCGGCCGCCCCCCTCTTTGCCCCCGCACTTCCCTGATCACCCCAACTCGCCCGGATATCGTTTCTGGATGGGCTGGTGGGGATATTTTTCCGCTCGCGAGCGACGCGGTCAGCCGCGCGCCGGCAGTAAAGTCGAAAGAATAGCGCAAACCTTGCTGTCGCAAGCATGAAGCGGAAAAATGGGCCACATGGGTGGCGAAAGCTACAGAGCGTTGACAGAGGCAGGCGAAACGAAGAAGCAATCGAGGGCGAGAAACGAAAGACGGAAGAGCAACGAGAAGAGAAGACAACACGAGAGGGGCGAAACGAAAAGGAAACATGTCGGAGAGGGGGAATCGCGCCGCACCTCAGGCTCAAGCCACGCCGAGGAGCTGGAACTTGTAGTACAGCGTCGCGTCCAACCGAGGCGCACTTGGGGGTCGCGAAGTGGCCACTGACGCGAAAGGAGCGTAAGCGTAAAACGCGTCGTCACACATCCAACAGGCCATCTCCAGGGCCGCGTATTCTATCCGCATGGCCGGCGCCATCCAAGAGCCACAAGAGGGGCAAGGGCAACATGGGGCACGCACCGGTGGCGACGAGGTGACAGGGCCAGTAGGGTGAAGTGCCCAGCCCGGGCCCGTTGGGCAGTCAGCTTTCGAGCGGGGGGGTGCGCCGTCTGAGACCTGGAGTAGCCCAGTGGCGACAGTGGCGTACCAAGCCAGCACGATGGGGACCGGCGCGGGAGCGTCAGGATCCAGTCTCTGTGCGCAAGGAGGGCGACGCCGCCTGTGACCTGCAGCCCGCTGAAACAAATTGGTGGCTGGCCTGGGAGCGGCAACGGGGGGGGTCCAGATCCCGCTCTGTGAAGAGAGCGAAGTGGGGGGATACGTGGGAGCGTCGGAGCCTGAGACAGATCGCTGCGCTGGCACTGGGCAACCTGAGTTACCGCGCTGCTCACTTCGAATCCAAACGTCAGCCGCAGGACGGAAGGAGGCAACTCCGCCTGCAGTGTGCGGCTCTCTGGTAGGGTTCAGCTAACAGCCGCAAGAAGATTGGAACGCAGTTCGCTTGAGACGTGTTGCTGCACTGGCATTGGGCAACCTGGGACGCCAGGCTGCTCAGCCGGACTCTAGATGTCAGCCGCAGGACGGAGGGGGGTGACTCCGCCTGCAGCCTGCCGGTTCTCTGGTAAGGTAAGCTGCAGCCAAGAGCCGCAGAATGATTGGGATGGAATTCGCCTGAGACATATTGCTGCGCTGGCATGGGGCAGCTGTGGTCAGCGACGCCCCCGATGTGTTCAGGATCGAAAGTGGGCCTCTGATGTGCTCAGAACTACGTGGAAAAGGGCAGTCGCCCGAAACGCAGGAGGGAGACGCGAAGAGGCAGGCGGGGGGCAGCTGTCGGCTATTCACGACGGGGGGCGGGGAGGGTGGGAATCACACCTCCGCATTGCCAGGCCGATCTATGTTTACTACTTCTCTCCAAGGGGCGCGCCTGCCGCCGTAGTCCACGCGCAGGCCTGTGAACTGCAAAGCGATGTCCACGGGGGACCATTTTACCTGATAGCATAGCCTTCCACGGAAACTTGAACGCAAGTGCGACCAGACCCGGTGCCCCCATGCGAGTGCACCCACACTGTTGTATTTGCAGAGTCGACGTGTGTTCCAGAGGTACTATGTCCTCCCACTTGAGAAAGAACTCCTGGCGCTCTGCAACCTCCTGCTTAGCTTTCTTGACCGCGATCGGACACTGCCCGTTCACCTCATGCCGCGTAGGGCAGGCGCAGTAGGATGCGGGGCGAGAGCGGCGGTTACAACAGAAGGGCGGTTCTGCTGTGCTGGGTTGCAGCTGCAGCAAGGCGTGGGGGGGTGAACCACGCGCGACGCCCCATAGCGCAGGCGGGGGGCAGAGAGCCGTTGAGCGGGGGGGGTACCACCGCTAGCAGTGGCCCGCCCTGCGGAAGGGGCAGTAGGCGAGCGCGGCGGCCTGGCAACGCCAAAAAACGAAAGGGCCGGGTGCTCTGGTAGGGCGCAGCAAACAGCCGCAGGAATGCGGAACAATGGTTTCGCCTAAGACAGGTGAGGGGCGGCGCCAGAGGGCGTGGGCGGGGGGATAGCTGGGCGCGGCCCACTGCCAAGGGCGGGGTGACGACGCCCGCGCAGGCCCGGTGGGGGAGGGCCACGTGGTCAGGTAGGGTGCAGCTAACAGCCGCAGAACGGAGGATAGGAAGTTCGGGCCAGAGACACACAGAGGGTAGGGCGGAGGGCGGCACAAGGGGGGGTGGCGGGATGCCGCCCACGAACAAGGGTAGGTAGACGCGCCCCGCGCTGCGGGATGGTGGTTATGGACGCTGGTGTCGAAAAGTAGTGACGGCGATCAGCTGGCTTGCAGCTGGCGGCCGCACGACAGGGAAAGGTGGTGCACCTGAGAGGGCTGGTGGGGATGCTTTGTCCTCGCGGGCGCAAGCGGATGCGCAGGCGCCGAGTTGAAGGGCCCGGGCCACGGGCCGATCTAATTAAATTAGCGACGCGCGAGCCTAAGAGCACAGCGACCGAGCCCGGAATCAGGACCTTCCGCCCGTGGGGCAGCTGGCTGAGGCTGAGCTGGCTGAGCTGGCTGCAAACGGCCAGGGTAGCTGATGCATACGCGCGGGTGAATTGGATCCTGCACGCCAGGGGGTGCCGCGACCTGTTCCGCATCTACAGACCGAACGTATGCCTAGCGAGGCGGTGCCACCAGACGGGCAGACCGGGAAGGCAGCGCGCAACCAGGAAGAACAGAGCTCGAGAGGTGGCAGCGCGCTCGAACTCAAGTGGGTACCGTGTGAGGAAGTCACCAGGTACGCAAACGGACCTCGTCGCCACCGGGCGCCAGGGGTCCGGGCCACAGCTGCGGCTGGTACGTGCCAAGGCACGGCAGCTGGTGGGGATGCGCGAAACGTTTAGAATTTGGAAGATTGGATGGTTCGGCTTGGTGGCCGGAAGAAGACGTGATTGATCTTAACGGCAAGCGCGGCAGAGCATGGGTATTCGCATCCTCCCCTGAACAAATTGAACCCGCGGATGCTATTCCCCGAGGTGGCAGCATCCTCGATGCCACGCATCCGCACTTTCAACACTACTGGCGAGAATGAAGAAATACACGTTGACGGTTCATGTGGTCGACGACTTGCAGTGGTTACTGTGGCATTTGACGGGCGCTTGTGCTAAGTAGTCGGATGTCGAAATTACCAAGCCGTTCTATGCGCTGTCGAAGAAAACAATACACATCAAAGATCACGCGGTTGTTGGCAGCACCGCGTGCGCAGGCTCCACTCCTTAACCCCCCTCCGCAGGCAGACGAATGCGTCGGCGGCTTCATGCATGTAGCTGCTGCTGCTTCTGTGGGACCTGGAAATGTAGAAAGACGTGGTTGCCTGGAGTATCCATCCTGATCCACGATGATAAAATCAGATTGGCTCTGTGGGGCACCTAACTTCATAATTGGTAGGTGTCCTTGGCACGCTTGCGTGTCACAAATCCATATTGCAGCTTCTGGCAGTCCGCGTCGATGCTGCTGACTGCGCTTGTCAAGTTGATATCCTCGGCTTGGATTGCTGTCAGGAGGTAGTCCATCATAACCAACGGCTGATTAAGCATTGATGGACTTGTAGGTGGCGACATCCGAACTCTATCCCCACACCCCCACCAACAATCGATTATCCTGAATCGATGGGAGGTGGGGTTAGGGTTCGGAAGTCGCCACGAGTTCGGCGAATCCCGAACGCTACCCCACAGCCCACCGAGTTGCTTGAATCCTTGGTCGGCGAGAGTAGAGTTCGGATTTCGCTGCCGATCTTGGTCCAATGCGACGCGTGTTCTTCTTCTGAACATCATGATAGAAACTCACGGTGCGTCTTTGGTACAGACGCCTGGCTTCCGAATCGGGGGACAATGGGCAATTTCGCAGAAATCTCAGCTCCCTAAAAGATCCTGGATACGGTAGCGGGCCACGTGAAACTTACCGTTCGTTCCTCTTCCCCCGTTGCGTCCGCGAACTCATGGAATCCAATAGTTGAATCACGTTCGAAACGCCTTGCCCATGCCGAGCGATTCAAATCCCCATTCCAAATGGCATGCGCCCTCGCTCGCCAACACCCGCTGTGCCAAAAATCTTGCGATGCCACGGGTCGTATCGATTGGCAATGCCCCTTGTCCCCTTGTCTATGGATCTCACTGTGACAAATCGAAACACACATGGTGCATTACAAAGCGACAGTGGCCAGACCCGTGAGAACTGATTGTTTTTCTTCAAACGATCATTGGCCGCTTCAGGTGTTCAACTCGGTGGCCACTGCTGCAACGACTGCCGACGCATTGTTCTGGACGCCATGTCTGCTGAGAAGGCCACGCTCCTTCCCAACCGCGGCCATGTGGCCGCAGCGGCGACGTACACCCTACACGTTGCTCCGTCGCTGGTCCCAACATTGATGGAAGTGCCGTTCGTCAGAACAACCTGAGCCATGTAGTGGATGATGCAGTGCGTGTAAAGTAGTGGCCGTGCTCGTTGGCGTCCAGCGAATCCCCTGCGCCTTTGTCAATGATGTAATCATCGGTGTGACAAGCTTCCTGTCATTATCATTGGCACGTGTCTCGTCTGAATGATCGTCCTGGCGAGGACGGTGCTCACTCGGGTGGGTTTGTGTAGTATGGTAGATCGATGAAGTTTGGGGGTCTTTCTCTAGCAAGTGGTTGCTCACAAACTCTTGATCCTAACATCGGAGGTCAACATGCCTCCGGCATGAAGATCACCCTTTTGACGGTACACGCAGGAGGGCCAGGGCTCTCACGGCATTCTGCCATAATCGTTTGCTGTGTCACCACTGTTGGCAATTCAAGGCATGTGTAATAATGATATGTACTTCTGAAAATGCGGATAACTGCCCCCGTTAGGTGCTACAAATCCTCTCCGAAGCTACAAATCCTCTCCGAAGCGTGTGTGTTCGCGCGTGTCAGCGCGCGTACGCGTGCGCGTGACGCGTGCAACGATGCGCGTGCAGTCCCGCGCGCGCAGACACCAGCGCGCCGAAACCCGTGCGCGTGGAGCCAGGCGTGCTTCGACGAATAACATGCGCGCCCCCCCAGACTACAGGTACCCCCGCGCGGCCCCACCCCCGGACTACAAGTCCCCCCCCCGGACTACAGGTACCCCTTCCCCGGACTACAAGTACCCCCCCCGGACTACTGGCCCCCCCCCCCAGACTACAGGTACCCACCCTGGACTACAGGTACCCCTAGAACTATTGAGGGACACAGAGTACCTCAACTGGTACTGATTGTAATGTTCCATTCCATGTCCTCCGTTCCGCGTTCCGTATTGATGAAGCTGGAGCTGGTGTCCTGGGAACTGTACACGTATCAGCGTGCACCCACAGGCGCTACGGCAGTTAAGTACACACCGCCTCAGCCTTTGCCCCGACCCCGCTCGCCTTTGCCCCCCCCGTCCCCTGCCGATGACCCCTCTGGCCCCGATTCGCGACGTCCGCCTTGGCTCGCAGAGGGAGGGGGGAAAGGAGGGAGATCGGATCGGATCGGCTTTCCGCGAAAGTTCCTGCTGCGAGGCAACAGCTGGCGGAACGCGCCGATACACGTATCCACACAGTCCAGTTAAAAAGAGGGAGGGTGCACCGATCGACACATGTATCGAAAGAGGAACATCTTTTTAGTCCGATTGCGCATCTGATTCAATCGATGGCCTGTCAGGACAAAGGCGGCACTCAGCAACGGGCTGTGCGAGACAGGTCGTAACGAGCACAGCTGTGGCACTGGCGCCAAGGATGCTGACAGTCGTTGCTGCCGTTTTGGCAGAAAGGAGGGGAGGAGGGGAGGAGGGGGGTGACTTGTGTTCGGGCAGGAGCACCCTCACGCCAATTGGCGATGAATACGGGTTCGTTTTCATCGCCATTGGCGCATCAGCTGCGCTGCGTAAGATCGCGGGCAAACGACCTCGTCTCCGATGTAGCGTGCCGCGCTGGCGGCCCGCGCAAACCACCGCGTGAGGGGTCTGAGCCACCTCTCGTGGGACTTCTTCCTTTTCGCCGCAGACCAGGAAGGAGAGCAGAATGGGCTGGCGGGGCGCTCTTCCCCCGCCTCAGGGCGCATGTCACGGGGGTCAGCCCTGGCGGGGGTCGGCCGGACCCCTCTGGATCCTCTCCAGCTGGCCCGAGCTTGAAGCCACGCGAGCGACGAAAAGAAACGGGCCTAGCGCGAGAAGACACGGCGACCTCGCGCCGTGGCTCCCGCGGGCCACCAGAGCGGCACGCTGGATCAAGAACGAGGACAACTTACGCCGGCAACTCACGCGCGAATGTCCGCGCAATCGAACACGTTTCTCTGCGTCACTCGGGCCGGGCGAAAGGGGGGGATCGCAAAGGGGGGGTTTAAGAATCAGCTCACGCAGCTGATTATCCCGGCGCCTCCCGGCGCCGGGAAGCGCCCATGTATCGAGGATTGGGCCAGGCGACGGGGCCGAAACCAGCTGCATGCAGCAGATTTCGTACCCCCCCCCCTTTCCCTATCCCCCCTTTCGTTCGGCCCGAGTCGCTCAGCTGGGTGCTGAAAACCACCCTCCCTGGGTCTCTCTGCTGGGGCGGGAATTGAGGAGCTGCTTCGTGGCCTGCCCGGACTCGCGACACTGCCCTGGCCAGCCCAGGCCAGCGCTGACCTTGGCCACCCCAGACATCCGACGTCGTGTTTCCTCCACGACGTGTTTCTCAAAACTCTGGACCACCTCGTGGAGGCAGGCTTCTCATCCGGAGTCGGTTTTTGTCGGTCACGGGGCCGCTGTGAGGGCCCCCGGAGGCCGAAAGCGGCCCAAATCCTCCGGTCGTGATTTGTTCCGAGCCCTCCGTCCTCGCTCTGCATCCGCAGCGCCGCGCCCCCGGAGGCCGAGAGCGGCCAAAGACCTCCGGTCGTGACTTGTGCCGAGCCCTCCGTCCTGGTTTCGAATCCGCAGCGCCGCACGCCTCCTCCTCCTCTCCATCTCCCTGCGTCGTCTCTCCGCGTGCCCAGGTCGGCGCATCAATCAGCCATGTCGATACGCCATTAGGGAGCTCCCCCTGCGGCCCCAGCGAGAGCATCCGCATGGCGTGCCCGCGCCCAGGAAGGATTCGTGGCTCCAGGAGGGAGCTCCACCGACTGTCTGTGGGCACGGCCGCATGCGGGCCCACGCCCCTTTCGCCAATTCCGCAAATTTCCCCAAACTCCATCCCTCTTGCGGCGCGCAGTACATGAGGAGAAGGCCACATCCTGGTTGCTCGCAGCTGCACATGGAGTGAGCCCCTCGCAAGGCTAACGAAGACGAAGCCAGGACATGGACAAACATGGATCGGACATAGTCGGAGATTTCTCAGGCCCGGCGGTTCTGGAGGATGTATCGGGCGCCGTGCGGCCTTCTCAGAGCGATCCAGAACGCCTTGAAAGCGCTCCGGAATGCTCTGGAAAGATGCATCCCTGTCCCAACCCCGCCCGACTAGCTCCACGACGCGAGGAGGTCGGAGCTGGCCCCGTCCCCGATCGCCGCCGCTGGCCCGCCTGGCGCTCGTCCGCGGGGCCGACTTCTCATCCCGATTCGAGTCTCGACGGCCCCAGGCCCGGCGAGGCCCCCGGGGAGGCCGAGAGCGGCCGCAGACCCCCCGCCGTGATCCTCCTCTCGCGGCGCAGGGAGGTCGGGGCAGGGCCACCCTGCCAGAGGTCGAACAGTGATGCAGGTTCACATCACTCCTCCTCCCCCCGTCCTCCTCTGATAGCGTTCCTCCCTTCTTGGGGGACGGGGCGGGCAACGAACGAGGTGAATATGTTTGGAGCTCATGCCAAGAAGCACCCTACGCTTTGCCTGGTGGCCCTAGGTTTCTTTGGCTTGTGCTCGGATCGAAGGCTTGCAGCGGTCCCGAAGAAACCGCAACTGGCAGAATACTCTGGGCTTTCTGAAGAATGATGCTTTACGCCAGCCAAAGAGAGACCGCCTGGCCGAGGGTAATTACCCTGGGCTTCTTCGCTGACAGCCGCTAAGCAAGAAGCCCAATCCTGGCAAAGGAACCTTCGGCGATTCTGAAGGTCGGATTTCTTGCACCTGTCCTCCTCCCTCAAGCAACTCACGGAAGCTTTGGGTCGGCCCCATGGCGCCTATTAGCGCGCCCGTTTGGGGCGCGAAGCAAACATCAAGCACCTACATAGCACGGCGCTTTTGGGCGCTATTTGCGCGCTGTTCGGCGCTAACGGGCACTATTGGGTACCGTTTGGCGCTATCGAACGCCAATGGGCACTATTCGCCGATATGCACTTAATCCAAGACGAACGGAAGCTTCCGTGACTTACTACCCAACCCGAGTCCCCGGCCGCCACCAGCTCGGCCGGGCGTCCGCCGATATACACCCAATCCAACACGAGCGGAAGCTCCCGTGACTTCCTACACAACCGCCCGAGTCCCCGACCGCCGCCGGCTCGGCCCGGCGCTCCTCCCTCGCCACGTCCACGTTGGCCCTCGCTTCGCAGAGCAGCGTCACGATCTGCGCGGGCGCGGCGGAGCACCCCGCCCCACGCGCGGAGAATGGGGAAACCAAAAAGTACCAAAAAGTACCAGAATGAGGAACCAAAAAGTACCTCTCGCAGAATGCGTTCTGAACAAAATTTCATGCGAATCCAGCGGTGGCGACGAGGGCACCCCAAGAGGCGCCCAAAGTGGAAAACGAGGAAAGGGTAGCGGTATGGATACCCGTTCCTCCTCTGAGAGAGCGACCCGCGGGGGGGCGGCGGCGCTCTGGACTCCCTGTGGCCCCCCCGAAGCTGACCGCCGCGACCGAGCCACACCTCCGCCGCCTCCGCTTCCTCCTGGCGGCGCCGAGGCGCCTCTCGCTGCCGCCGCGCTTCTCAGGCCACCGACGCTGCCAGAATCGAACCAGACTCGAATGCGTCCCTATCACTGAGATTGACAAGCCAAAAGCGATGACAACTTGGGGATGTGCCCAAAGAAGCCGCGACAATCCTTAAGATCGGCCTTGAGGTCAGGTGATGCCCAACATAGGGATGGGGATGTGTTTCAAACTGGTAAGAATCAACCTCCTTCCGCTGCCGACATTTTCCTCATCCTCTTCGTCATCCCTCTCCCGTCGAGCACCCCCCCCTCGCCCCAAAAACCACCCTGGCCCGCAGTCCGAGTCGCGGCTGGCCCTGGCGACGGAGGGTGGCCTTCGAAGAGGGATGAAAGGGAGGAGGGGGGAAACTCCTGCGCCCCCCCGCCGCTCCTGCTCCCCGCCTGCCACCTCCACGCTCGATGCGCAAGGACAGACGCTACTGACCCCTGTATATCCGGACTTTTCCATCGTCATCGTCAACATCGTCATCGTCGTCATCGTCATCATCACCATCACCATCACGATCACCATCACCGTCATCAACATCATCATCTTCTTCACCACAATCATCATCATCATCATCATCATCATCATCATCATCATCACCACCACCACCATCATCATCATCATCATCATCATCAGCATCAGCATCAGCATCAGCATCATCATCATCAGCCTCATCATCATGATCATGATCATGATCATCACCACCACCATTACCACCACAACCACCATTTTCATTATGACCATCATCATCATCATCATCATCATCATCACCATCATCATCATCATCATCATCATCAGTACCATTATCCGGATCATCGGCACCATCACCATCATCATCATCATCATCATCATCATCACCGTCATCAACATCATCACCATCATCATCATCACCCTCATCATTATCATCACCCTCCTCCTCCTCATCCTCCTCGTCGGTTTCGTCGTCGTGATCGTCGTCCTTCTGGCTCCAGGCGCCCTCGGGTGCATCGCGCCCCTCTCCGCGGTCTGAATGCCCCCGCCCTGCCCTTTCCCGTCACGCAACCTCGTCTCCACCAGGGGGGTGTAGTGGACGAGACTGTGCCCGCAAATGCACTCGAGTGTGACCGACATCGGCGCCCGATTGATTCCCAACTCGCCAGGACTGTGATGTAAGTTTGTAGTTTCGAAGCTAAAGCGATCCTCAACTTCGGTCACGCTTTCGGTCACACCTCGTTACCCATCACAATTTCAGGCACGTGCTCGGTCCCCGGATTTTGTTCTGTCACATACCTTGTCGGCTGATACGGGCCGGGCGCCATGATTCCCACCCTGCCCACTGCGCAGAATTGGAAGGACCCCTCCCGCGCCAGAGAAGCGCCCACACGCCCCGAGAGGCTCGGGGAGGGGAAAACGTTTGGGAAGCGTGCTCCCTGAAGGGATTGATGTTTCTGGTGGCTTCATCCCGTATCACGCACTTCCCGCCACTACTGTTCGCCATCCGTCTCCTCTCCCTCCATCTCCTCCGCATCCAGCGGCAGACCGTATAAAAATACCCAATGTAGACCCAATGCTGCGAAGAGGGGTCGCAATGCAATGATAACCGCGAGGCTGTATATCAGCAGCGATACACATGTTATCCGCAATGGATGGCGATAGATGGTTGCTTAGCGGAACCGGCAAAGGTACCCCCCGATACGCAGAAACTCAAGGGCCCTGGAAAAAAATGGTTGAACCCAAATAAGCACGGCGAAGGTCAGCACATGAGCGTGCATGCTTACAGATCAACACTGACACGATGTATTTCACACTCGTGCAAAAACCTTCTGATCTGCGCATCTGCCGGCTTAGATCATTGAGAAGTGTAAACCGCACGTCAACAAACTAAGATGCAACCATGCGCATGGCGCGCTTGAAGATCGAGCCGGCGCTGTTGACGTGTGCCTCGTGTTCTCTGGCCTGGTTCGTCGGCTCCTGATGCTGCAATGCGAGGCGGATGTCTCGCAACGCTGCCCTGATAGCACTGCCGTCCGATCGCTTGGTGAACTGATCACCGAACTGCTGGTCCGTAGGAACCCCGAAAGGAAGCAGCTGGCTGCGCTGATCGTCGGCTACGAATTCGTTGCTGACCTCTTTCTCGAGGAGCTCCTTGAGGCCTATTCGGTCTAACAGAAGGCGCTGCTCTGACGGGGGCTTAGAGTAACCGTCTGCGTGCACCGTATCGCACAGGCTAGCGCAACCTGTGACCTGAGCAAGCGGCATCAAACTCGGCGGGGTGCCCCCAGGATGGGCATCGGGCATCTCCAGCGAAGCGAAAAACACACGGTGTAATCTGAGCACACCCTAGAGCGTCCACCGCTGACATCGTCTCAGCTGACAGAGTAGACCTGCAGACTCGCTTGATGGTGCCCGATCTCCAACCTACGATTCCTATTCGAACTCAACCTCCGCGTATCAACTTAGCTTCTGCGAGAAACGTCACGTAGTCGGCCTGCGAGCGGATCTTGATATCCTTGTCCTTGCTGCTTGATCCCACCAGGGTGGAGAGAAGCTTGGATATGGCAGCATCAGCAGGCTCGTCCGCGTTGGCCCAGCTGGCGTCGCGGTAAGTGAGCAGGCAAAACGGACCACGTAACTTCGGAAACTCCAGTCCTACGTCCGCATGCTTCCGCGCCAGCTTGATGAGCCGACTCGTCTCGAGCAAATCCTGCACGGTGGGCCTGTTCTGCGCGCGTTGCCCCATGGCCACTCCAGCGGCTGTATCTGGTCGAGTCTGCGATGAGGGCCATCCCAGCGCTCCGGGAGCGGAGCGGTTGTCCGAAAACTCGGCCGCCGTTGCATCCTTCGACAGCTCCGTCTTGCGCTCCTTGATGAGCGGATGCCTTTGATGGTGTTCGCGTGCTCGGTCTGTCGTGGATGTAGAACGCCCTCGTCGTCGTGCCACGCCTGCTCGCCGCGGAATGCGAGCGGTAAACCTCCCCAGTCGCCCCGCGGAAGTAGCTTGCAGCTGTCGCGCAGGGTCGGGTACCTGGGCGAGACGCTTAGCAGCAGGACGCCCACGTGAGCGACCACCACTGCGCGCCACTCCCCGAGCTTGCCGTAGCCGTAGTACAGCGCTGGGTCCAGCGGATTCTGGCACAGGCGGAACACGAAGGCTTCGCCGATGTTCTCCCTTACCGCAAACAAGGTTCTCTTAAGCTTCGCCCGCCACTGCCTTGGTGCCGTAGCTAACCCGAACACTCCCTTCGGGATCTTGATCAGCTGCTCCGGGTGCAGTCCAGGTAGGCCCTTGCGGGGCTGCGCCATGAACGGGTGGCTGGTCGGGCTGCTCGTCGCCCTTCATGAGCGCCGGCCGTCGCGTCCGCCACGTAGACCTCCAGGTCGAACCTCTGGCAGGGGGTGAAGAACAGCATGGTGGAGTTGCGGGCGACCATAGGCGAGCCCGTGCGAAAATCACCCTTGGCCACGCGCGGGCCCATGTGACCTCCGACGCATGACCTGGCCGTGGCCTTGACCGGCAGCGGGTGCTTGTCGGTCCTCGGCGGCGCGTTCTTGTCCCATCGCGCGAAACGGCTGGGCAGGATGAGGTTTGCCTCGACCCTGTCCCTGGCCGCCTCGGACTCCTCGATGGGGGGCACTTGGCAGGAGCCGTACTTCTGCCACTCGCTCCACTGCTTGGCCACCGCCTCCCGCTAGGGCTCCCTGTCGGACTCCTCCATGGCCTCCTGTGGATATCCCTGTCAGCCTGCTTGCGCTTGATCCTCTCGGTGGTGATGGAGGTCTGCATCGCTTCCTGGGGGCGGACCTCGACCGTTGCCTAGCTTCTTCTGGTTCTGACCTGGCCGTGGGCCCACTGCTGGGCGCCGCCCCAGGGTCGCGCGACGCTGCCCTCGAAGGCGCGGCACCTGACCCCGCGTGCTCCGCGTAGGTATGAAGGCGCTTGAACGCCGGGCCGATCGCCGCTGTCTGTCGTCGAAAGTAGCTCGCCGACGTCGAAACTCAGCGGGGCCGCAGGTCGGCTCCTCCAAGTCTGGTAGCGCCGGCTCGGCGAACTGCGCCTCGATCTGCCCCTCTGGCTGCGGGTCCTCCGCGACGTCCAGCCTGAGGTCATTGTCATCTGCGTGGATTGTCGAGGACTTCCTGCCACGACTGCCCCATCTCGCCCGGCTTGACCTCGGGCTCGCCCGGCTCCAAGCAGATGTCCCCCACTGGGGCCTCGTCCTGCTCCAAAGAGTTGCAAGCCCTGTTGAGCTCGGCCACGGCCTGGCCGATCTCGCCCCTGCCGTTTGGGAACCTGGCGCCGTCCGGGGCGAGCGCATTTCTATGTGCTCCGGGGCCGCCGGCATGGAGCGCCCCCCCAGCCGAATCCAGGCGTTCTCGCCTTGATGGCCGATGACCACGCACGGACCTCGCCGGATGCCCTTCTCGTCGTTGCGGTTGCGCTGCTCTTTCTGATTCTTCTTCACCTGGCGGAACACATGGCACATCTCACCCACTGACAATGGCGCGGCCACCGTGCGCGCGCGCAAGCCAGCATGGCCCGCCTGAGCTGGCCGTCTTTCTGCATCCTCATGAACGACTCACGCGCTGCCGTCCAGATGGCACAGCGTCTGCGAATCTTCTCGTCATTGGAGGCGAGGCTGCGGGCGCTGTAGTTGGCCGCGTCGTCCACCAAGTCCGCGGGCATCTTGGGATCGCGCCCCAGCACCCACTGCGCGGGGCTGGAGCCAGCTTGCCTCCTCAGCGAGTTCTTCGCTCCCGACGCCATGATACCCAGCGCCCGCATCTCGTCCTCGCCCCTGATTGACAAGTGCTCGATCGTCCTCGCCACGAGCTCCTTCCAACAAGCTCTCTGGCGCTCCACTCGACCGAGCTGCCGATGAGCCGAGCCTGTCCAGCGATGGGTAGCTGCACCGTGTTGAACGACTGGAACAGCTCCCTGAGGGCGCCGCCGAGTCCCTTCTCCATGTCAGAGTGCACTCGGTCCGGCACTCTAGCCCGGGAGGCCCAGAACCTCTCGAATGCGGCAGCGAACTCCTGGATAGCATGGCGACCGATCAGCGTCGTGACAAGGAAGGCGGTGGCCAGGTCGACGATGCTGAAGCACCAGTAGCTCTTGCAGTCAACGTCCTTGGGCTCGAAACAGTCGAAGCCCACGTCGTCACCAAAACCTTGCACGAGGTGGAGGTGCGCTGGCCTGCTTGCGCTCGGGTGCTGCTGCGAACGGGACGCCCAGCATATCAGCCCCTCGCGGCCGGGGCGGTGGCCGACTTGGCTCCCTTGAGTCGCAAGCTGCGACCCAGGTCTTCATTAGACGGATGGCCCAAGTTGACATGCAGTCTCTTGAACATGGCCAGCTCGGCTGGCTCGCAGCAGGCTGCTGCTTTCTTTGCGAGAGTAACCGCGCCGACCCCGATCCTGCCGTCCAGTCCCGTCGGCCCGCGCGTCGCGTGCATGAGCGAAGTCAAATCCGCCGTCCATAAGGTTTGGGTCCTCAATGGGCTCGCCCGTCTCTCCCAGGGGCGCGTCGTCTTTCACGTAGGCGGTGGCATGTTCCTTCGGTTTCGTCACGATGATGGGCGATGAGAGAAAACCAATCCACCTCGCAGGCACGGCGCCCACGTTGCCGGCGAATGATCTGCTCGACGATGCGCACCACCGCCCGGCGGAACTTAGCAGGGTAGACGCCGGACTGGCGCACCGAAGGCGTTGTCACCGAACGTCTGGTCGCGTCGGTGCTTGCGGCTGCAGGTGCGTCGCAGCTGCTCGAACTCCTCGCGGGTGGCCAGCAGCTTGGCGGGGTGCTCGATGAGCCCCCCCTCCATGCAGCGTCGAGCCCCGCGTGCCGCACTTCACCAGGCGCGCGCGCTCGTCGGCCAACTGCTGCCTCAGCACGTGATGCGCCCAGATCTGGTTAATGGTCGGTTTCTCGACCATGGCCACGTCGCCAGAGTCGAGCTGATATTTGAAAAGGTCGCAGGCCAGAAGGATAAATGGCAGCTCTGCCCGCCAATGTCGCCGCAGCGTTTGCTTGCCCTTCGGCGCGCGGAAACTCTGGCGCGTGATGTTCGCGTAGTAGGCGCAGGGTAGCTCGATCGACGCGAACCTCGGCCTCGATTAGTAGAACAGGCGTGCGCCGTCTCGAGGTCCGCCTGCTACAAAAATCGGCTGGAAACTTTCGCCAAGTCTTTCAACTTCCGCTAGGGCCCCTGCAGTGCAAGCGCAGATTGGGGAATGAGAAAAAGAGAGAGAAAAAGAGAGGCAGACACAGAGAGAACGACATCGGGAGAAGTGGAAAAAAGGGAGAGAGAGAGAGAGAGATAACAACAAAAAGAGAGGAACGAAAACAATGACAGAAGGGCGGAGGAAGGGCGAGAGAAAGGAGCAGCGAGAGAGTGGAGCTGGAAGTAGCTGAGGCACCTCCACTTATGATGCTCGTCCTGGCCAAGCGTCACCTGACGGAGTGTAGGCTCCACGGATACGAGTCATGCGGCGGGGAGACGGTTCACATCTCGCTCCCACGTCCCGACACAACACCCTCCGTTTTCTCCACCTGATGACTCTAACCTTCTGCTCGTCCCATCAGACATCCGAAGTCACGTTATTTTCACAGCGTGGCCCCCCAAAGGCCTGGACATCTTCCCGCGAATGGCTTTTCTCCCCGAGGATGCTATTTGGCGGTCCCGGGGCCCGTGAAAAGCCCCCGGAAACCAAGAATGGCTAAAAGCCCTCAATAGTGTCTTTAGATCCACAACCTCTTCCCGCTCCCACACCTCCGCCCATGTCCACCGCCGACGGGGCCTCAGACTCGCCCTGGTGAGACGCGATGCTCAGCGCAGTCATGCTCATGCCTTCCACCTGGTCGACGTCGGCTCCGAAATCAATCATGATGGCGACCACCTGCGAATGACAGGAGGGCGTACGAGGCACCTACAAGGATCCAGGGGACGTAAAGGTGGGAAGAGGCCAGCGAAGTGGCTAACATCAAATCGCTCTGGACGGCCCCGTGGACGTGGGAAATATCAGCCTCGGGCTGGGTTCGCTCCTTGACCCCACCTTAGGCTGTACCCCCCTCCCCAAACATGCGATACAGTTCTTTCCCAATCATCCTGTGTTGAGTTGGGTCTTCGTTTTGAAGGGACAGCGCCCCGCGCTTCTCACCTCGTCTTCTCTCCTCTCCTCTCCTCTGCTTTCCTCTCCTCTCATATTCCTCCCCCTCCTCCCTCTTCCCACCCTTGCCCCTTTTCCCCGTATGACCTCATCACCATCTTCATCGTCAACACCATCATCACCATCGCTGCTTGTCCAGCACCAGCATCATCATATCATCATCACCACCATCACCATCACCATCACCATCATCATCGCCATCATCACTATCAACAATTATCAGCACCACCACGACCCACATCGTAATAGTCCTCCTCTTCCTCATCATCGTCACACTAACCAACAGCATCACCATCATGATAATCAGTGCCCGTTTCATCAACAATATCATCATTGGCGTCGTAACCACCATCACCCGCAATATCATGTTATTCGTTTTCTTCGCCACCATCATCGCCATCACAATCATGGTTATTATCATCCGTGTCGCCAGAATCATCGCCATCACCATCAGCATCAACATCACCATCGGCATCATCAGCAACAGCATCATTATCTTCTTTTTTTACAGCGTGGGCCCATGCCAACAAACAGCCTGCTCGCCTCCAAGGTTCCCTGGGTTATTTTTTGTGGCAAATATTACAACTCTCCTTGTCAACGAAACGGTGAGGATACCAGGCAATGAAACGCACTTCCGTGTGCGTCCGCACGCCATCATAACCAAGTTTTAAACAAAAGAGAGAGATGTTGCGAATTGCGCGGAACCAATGCAATGTGCGTCTGCGCGCAGGTTTGCCGACGGCGACGCCGACGACAACGATATTCGGCCGACCAGCGCGGACGAAGCTCTTGTACCCGCTAGAACCAAAGCACAGATAAACGTCCCCTCGAACCAGGTCATCCTCGTCGTATTTCTCCCCCCCCCCCCGTGCACCGTATAGCCAAGCCTGCGGGGCGCGCTCGCACTCCTTCGCGTTCCAATCATTGGAGACGCTGCGGTTCGCCATTAACTATCTAAGCACCTCATGCCTCCGAATCGCGTACCTGTAGTCTGGGGGTCTGGGGGAGGGATACATGTACTTTGGGGGGGTAACTATAGACCAGGGCCAAAAAATGATTGAAGGATTTAGATATTGGAATCGGGAGAAAACCTCCTTCACACTTTCTGCATAGCTTAGGCATCGCCTGTTCACACGCAGCCGTGCATGGCAAATACGTGAGGGCTATACACAACGAGTGGGCAAATTTTGTACCACTGTGCGGAGGGTGAGGGCTGGACAACTAGTCAGCACATGGGGTGGTCCTTACGCCTGCAAGCCGTACTCCATGGACGCGTGCTCGCCAGCAGGAATCCTCCACGCGTTCGGATATTATTCCTCCAGAAATGCACTAAATCGTCGCCAAACAGGCGGTTTACCCATCGCCGCCGGGATTGATGCCTGTGCAGCATTTGCACCAGGCGTGGCGGAGAAAAGATTATATAACAGAAGGTATAAATACATGGATCGCATTGACAACCTTTCAGCATTCACGAGGCACCACACAAAATCATAATTGCAACTGTAATGGCGCGGGCTGGAAAACTGAGTTCCCCCAGAAAAGAAAGAACTACACAAAACAACTGGAAACAACAACTGACAGAGGAGGCACAGTGGCCGACCCAGAGGCGAAACGCGCGTAGAATATGTGAGCCACTGGCAGAGCAGCAGCTTATGGCACCAGCCTCGAAGTGAACCGTGCACCGCCAAGGTTGCAAATATAAGAGAGGACTGGGCTAAGAGGGGATATGGAGCAGGGGGGCCCCTGAGGCTTCCATGTGGGCTCGACCGCCCGAAGCGCGAGCCTGGCAGTGCAGCCGCCCCAGATAGATCACAAGCCCAGGGATGCACGAATGCAAAGCTAGGTATCTCTATGGTTGCGTTGGCAACTTGGCGTGGCAACTTGGTGCTCGATAAAACAACCGCTAAATTCATAGTGCCCCTGAAGCCTCGGAAACATGACACGCTGCACAATACAAAATCCGTTGCCACTGCAGGTGCAACGAAGATCCGCGCACAGAAAAAGGTTCTAAGGTACAGGGGCGGTAGCTGCATGACCGCGCCGTGAAAGATTGGCGCCGCAGCATGTGCAACCTGCAACCACCGCGCGGCAGATGGGGGACATCAAAACTCGGAGGGGTACGCAAGTGAGTAGCGGGAAGACAAGGAGGGAAACTCCTCGAAACCAGAATAATAGAGGAACGCGCACGCAACCGCGCCCAGCTGTAGAAAACACCGGGCAATGCTGGAAGCTAAATGTAAGACGATTACAACAACGACGCAACGCAGGCAGCGTCACAGCTCTGCTTCGCCCACGACATGCACAGCGCTCCTACGCCGAGGCGAAGGTGGAGGAGAGGAGGAGGAGGAGGAGGAAGAGGAATATGAGTTCTTATATATATATATATATATATATATATACCACCCCCTCTGCGCGCACCCACGACGGTGCGCACTCGGTGGCCCGTATGGGGTGGGCCAATCCCGCCGCCACGTAGAAGCCATTGACACCAATGATGAAGAGGAAGCCGCAGAACACCCAGCACGAGCGCGCCATGGTATGACGGAGCCATTGCCACCTGCGAAGAAGAACTGGCTACCAATGAACAGGACAACCCAGACCAGCATGCACAGGGCGGCCGTGCCGAAAGAGAAAACGACACCCTTGAAGCCGAGGAAGCCGCCGAACGACAACCCCAGGGGCAGCATGGTATGACGAAGTCATTGACACCTACGAAGCACACCATGGGGCCGACGAGCTGCCTACCCCCTAAAAAGCGCTCGAAATACCGGCGAGGAGCCCGCCCATCACCGTCCGCTCCAGCAGCATGGCCTCCCAAGCCGCCGTGCTGGAAGGATCAGCGACCTCACGAAGGTCACTGGCACCCACCCGTGCGTGAACGCCGCCAGGGAAGATGTCGAGCTGGAGGGAGCTGGAGCCGACCACGCCTATGATCTTTCCCGTGCGGCCAATGAACTCGCCCTCCAGAACAACGCAGTAACGCCCAATAAACCAGGCAAGAGGCCAGCCAAATTGTGAACACATACTCGCAATCGGCTCATCGTCAGCGTTGTGGTAGACCTCCTGGGGCCAGACTATCTCACGGACCACCGTCTGCGGTTGTGCTCTTGAGCACGATTTCCCAAAAAAGGCCGTCAGCTCCGCAATCGTCTGCGTCAGGGCGAGATGCACCTCTGCCATTTGGCTGCTCGCAGACACTGGCACTACCTCACGCCGCTCACCATGAATATCAGGAGTAGGAGGATGCGCCCGATTCACACACACAGAGCCGTGCCCAGGAGGGTCAGCATGCATCCCCTCAGGAAGACAAGCGTCGGAAGGAGACCCATACATCACATAGTCCATGTCATCACGAGGGGTTTCCGCAGGGACCGCTGCAGCAGGGACAGACGGGCCAGCAACGACACCACCCTCCTGTAGAAGTACTTCAGCCGCAGCGTAGCCTCCAGGAGCGGACTCCTTGGCGAACGTATTGAAGGGGAAGGGCGGAACAAGGGGAAGAGGGCCCCCACAGTCATGAGCGAGAGGAAGCCCGTGCCGCCGAGGGGCCTTCGCCACGTGGCCCCCAAGCGACCAAGGGTCACAGCCGCCACTCCATGGATCCTCCTCGGCAGGGCCGTCCGCAAAACCACGACGGCGCCCTTCAGCACCACGGCGTGGCCCAGGTGGACCATCACCCCCTGCATCGCCAGGTCCCCCAGGAGGGCCGCCTCCACCAGGAGCTCCATCCCCGCCACCGCGTGGGGGGTCCTCCAGCCAGACGTTGATATCGCTGGTGTCAGACGACTGATGCCTGTGCCCACGGTCCACGGACACTGACGCAGCGGCACGCACGGAGACGGCGTCCAGCGTGTCCAAGAGCAGCGCCCTGGCCGCTGGCGAAGTGGCCGCCTCGCCGTGCTTGAGGAGGATCTTCACCTTCGCGCGGCCGCCAGCAGCCGCCGAGCCAGAGGTAATGAAGGCAGGGGTCCCCTGTGCGATGGCACGACGGGCCCACGCCAGGCGAGCCGCCACCACCATCGGAGGGCGCGGGAGGGGGCAGCAGGTGAGCGCAGGTGCGCTCGGAAAGGCACGGGGGCCAGCAGGTGCTGGGGCCAAGATGCCTAGGAAGAGGAAGATGAGGAAGAGGGGTAGGAACGAGAGCAAGTCACGGGTGCAAACGGCAATCGACTTTCGAGGTCCAAACGGGCGGCGCGGGCAGAGGCGGCCAGCGGCAATCCTCCTCCTCCTCCGACTCCTCGACCTCCCTTTCCTCCTCGCTGGCTTACTCAGGATCACGCTTGCGCATGGTGGGCGGGAGCACAAAGGCCCCTGAAACATCACAAACGCACGTGTTCTGACTGCACAGAAACACAGAATATGCCAGTCCCATTGGCGCCTGGCAACCCGCAGCGCATCCTCCTGGCTCCGGGTACAACGGCAAGTCGCCCCCCCCACACCACGTTGATGGTGTTGCGCGCCGCTTCCTCCTCGGCCGCCGCCGTCATCTCCACATTCGCGTTCGAATGGGACACCGAACCGAGCCTTTCAGCTGCACGAGCGCAACTTCATCGCACCCGCCCTCTGCCTCCAGGCGCGCGTCGGCCACCTCTGCGGCCTGCACCCCACAGACGCTCGAAATCGCTATCAGCAGCATGATGCTCTGGATCAATCGCAGGGCTGAGGCCACTCCAGGGCGAGCTCGATGGCAAAATTGATTGAGCCAAGATGGAAACGATGGGGTACCCTGGGTGTCTTGGCGGTCGATTGTTTTGCTATGGAGAACGTGATGTTCCCGCACCAAAAAAATGGACGTCCTGGGTCCCCAGGGTTGGGTTTCTTGTGGACGGCGTCTTGAGGTCGGGCCCTTACTGTATTCTTCTTCCTCATCACCACCACCATTGTCATCATCATCGTCATCACCATCACCATCATCACCACCAACATCATCGCCGTCACATCACCTCCTCTTTCGCGTCGGTGCGTCGACACACCACTCACACTGTGTGCCGTGTCCCCATAGGGGGCTCCACCAAAGGCCACAATGGCATGGTTCGCGAACCGCCCCCCTCCACCGTGGCACACCCCTCACACGTTTCATGACCCCATGGGACGCTCCACCGAAGACCCCAATGGCATGGCTCGCATGCCGCCCCTTTCCGCTTTGGCAAACCCTCTCACGTTCCGTGGCCCCATAGGGAGCTCCACCGAAGGCCAAACTGACATGGTTCGCATGCCGCCCCCCCTCCAGTTTGGCAAACGCTTCGTGCCCCCATAGGGAGCTCCACCGAAGGCCCCAGTGACATGGTTCGCATGCAGCCGCCCTTCCACTTTGGCACACCCTTCACACGCCTCGTGGCCCCATAAGGAGCTCCACCGAAAGCCCCACTGGCTTGGTGCGCATGCCGTCCCCCCCTCCACTTTGGCACACCCCTCGCACGCTTCGTGCCCCCATAGGGAGCTCCACCGAAGGCCCAAGTGGCATGGTTCGCATGCCGCCCCCATCCACTTTGGCACACCCCGCGCACGTTTCGTGGCCCCATAGGGGGGCCCAACCGAAGGTCCCAGTGGCATGGCTCGCATGCCGCGAAAGAGCGTGTTCTAGGATCGCATGCCGCCCCCCTCCACTTTGGCACATCCCTCACACGCTTCGCAGCAACACAAGGAGCTCCGCCGAAGGCCGCAGCGGCATGAATTGCATGCCGCACATTTGCACGTTGGCGCGCCCCGCATACGTTTCGTGGCCCCATAGGAAGCTCCACCGAAGGCCCCAGCGGCAGCGCCCGCATGGCGGCCCCGCCCCATTGCGGCGCACCTTTCGCGCGCTTCGCGCCCATAGGAACTCCACCGAAGGCAGTTCTCACAGCGGCGGCATTCGCAACTGCATATGGCTGGGCCCTTCGGCATGATCATGTGTCCCAACCATCCTGTGGTGTTGGGGCCCCGTTTTGAAGAGACGGCGCCCCGCGTCTCCTCCTCCCTCTTTCCTCCTCCTCCTCCTCCTCTTCTCCTCCCCCTCCCTCATCATACCCTGCCCCTGCTTTCCGCATCAAGCGATCACTTCGGCACACTCCTCACACGCTTCGTGGCCGCATGGGAAGTTTCACCAAAGGTCCTTGCGCTACCGTCCGCATCCGTCCCCAACACCCAATACAGCGCCTCGTGGCCCCATATAGAGAGCTACACCGAAGGTCTCACTGATACCGCTCGCATGCGCCCGCACCACCCAGCACAGCGCTGCGTGGCCCCATAAAGAAACCAACCAAAGGTCCATGGTCTACCGTCAGCACGCGTCTCCACCACCCAATACAGCGCCTCGTGGCCCCTATACGGGGCCCCACCGACGGCCTCAATGTTACTGCCCGCATGCGTCCCTCCCCCACCTAGTACTGCACGTCGTTCCCCCATGGGGAGTTCCACTGGAGGTCCCAGCGCTACCGCTCGCATGCGTCCCCCACACACCCGATACAATGTTTTGTGGCCCCATGGTGCGCTCCACTGACGGCGCGCCAAATGCACCGTCAGCATGCGATCCCCCCGCACAATACTACGCTTCGTGGCCCCATTGGGAGCTCCACCGAAGGCCAGTGGCATTTTCCGCATACGTTCCCCCACCCAATACAGCGCAGCGTGGCCCCTCAGAGAGCTCCACCGAAGAACAACGTTCCGTGGCCCCGTAATGGGGTTTCAACCAACCAAAAACAACGTTTCGTGGCCCTGTAGAGGGGTTCCACCGAAGGTCCCATGCGTCCCCACCACCGCGTGCAGCGTGTCGTGGCCCCATAAAAGGGGGCTCAACCGAAGGCCTCATGAGCACTGCCCACATGCGTCTCCACCACCCAGTAAAGCACTCCGCGGCCCCAAAGGGAGCCCCACGGAAGGCTTCAGTGGCAAAATCCATATGCGTTTCCCCCCCCCATACAGCCGCCCGTGGCCCGTAGAGAGCTCCGCCGAAGGCACCAGTGGCAAAATCCACATGCGTCCCCCTCACCCAGTACAGCGAGCGTGTCCTGGCCCATGGGGAGTTTCACCGAAGGCCCCGGTGGCAAAGTCCGCATGCGTCTCCCGCACCCAGTACAACGCTTCGTGGCCCATAGGGAGCTCCACCGAAGGCTCCACAGGCAAAGCTCACACGAAAAGCCCTACCCAGCACAGCGCTTCGTGGCTCACAGGGAGCTCCTCCGAAGACGATACCACAACTGCGATACTCACAACTTCGCATGGTCGGGTCCTTCGCCGAACTAATTCAATACGGGTTTGCCTGAAATCCCGCCCCCATCCCCGCGGCCAGTCGCCATCCGGAATCAATAACTTGAAGGTCCTGGGGCCAGCTGAAAACCCCAGCGGCACGGTTCGCATGGCGGCCCCGCGCCCATTTCGCCTCCCCCCCCACACACACACACACACGTTTCGTGGACCATACACCCCCAGTTCGAATGTTGTTCCTCCTGAAATAAACGCGTGGCAACGACCATGGACCACATTGGATACCTGTCTGGGTGTGTAACAATGTCGTGGGTCCTGTTTTTGTGCGCGCAGGTCCAACGTCCCGCGTGTGAAAACCAATGCATCCATATATGCTGCTGGAATTAAGACATCATAAGAATGACTCTCCTGGACAAGCAGGAAATTTGATCCGCGGGGCACTGCACGTGAGGCAACATGCTGTCCACGGAGCTGTGGCGCTGCAGACCAATGCTATGATTTTACGGGGGAAGGGCTTTTCATAGGGCGAGTGGATGGGGAGGGAAGAAGCAAGGGGAGGGGAGAGGAGGAGAGAGGAGGACGGAGGTGTGAGGGGGATATAATTAGGAGGACAAATGAGGGAGGAGGGGGAGGGGGAGGGAAGAGGGAAAAGGAGGAGGAGGAAGGATGCGGAGGGAGGATGCGAGAGGGGGTACAAGGCGGAGGGAGGAGAGGAGGAGGAAGAACAGGAGGAGGAGGGATGACGATGAGGACGAAGACAAGCAAAGTGTCAAGGTCAGAAGTTCGAGCGCCACAGCGGGTCCAGCCACCTCACCTGTCGCCTCCCATAACATGTGGGTGCTCGAGCGCCACAGCGAGCCTGGCCATCACACAAACTCCTCCCATACCATACGGTTGCTCGAACGCCACAGCGGGCCCAGCCAACTCCCGCATTTCCTCCGAAGCGAACGCAGCATACATCCGTTCACTTGAACGGCACGGCGCCTCCGACACTTCGGGCTCCAGAGGTAAATCTCTCGGCCCGCGTAAGTATGAGGAGCTCCAGCGACGGCCCCAGCGGGAGGGTTCGCACGGCGGCCCCGCGCCCATTTCGGCACACCTCTCGCACGTTTCGTGGTCCAATGGGAGCTCCAACGAACGCCCCAGCGGCAGGATACGTATGGCGGCCCTGCGCCCGTTTCGGCACACCCCTCATACGTTTCGTGGCCCCATGGGGTGCTCCAACGACGGCCCCAGTGGCAGGGTTCGCATGTGGCCTCGCGCCGGTTTCGTCACACCCATCACACTTGTCGTGAGCCCCATGGGGAGCTGCACCGAAGGCCCCAGCGGCAAGGTTCGCATGGCGGCCCCGCGCCAATCTCGTCGCTCCACCGAAGGCCCCAGCGGCAGGGTTCGCATGGCGGCACCGCGCCCACTTCGGTACATCCCTCACACGTTTCGTGGCCCCACGGGGAGCTCCTCCTAAGGCCTCAGTGGCAAGGTTCGCATGGCAGCTCCGCACCCAGATCGGCACATCCATCACACTTGTCGTGGGCCCCATGGGGAGCTCCACCGAAGGCCCCAGCGGCAGGGTTCGCATGGCGGCACCGCGCCCACTTCGGTACATCCCTCACACGTTTCGTGGCCCCACGGGGAGCTCCTCCTAAGGCCTCAGTGGCAAGGTTCGCATGGCAGCTCCGCACCCATTTCGGCACACCATTCGCACACTTCGTGGCACCACGGGGAGCTCCTGGCAGGGTTCGCATGGCGTCCTCGCATCCATTTCGGTACACCCATCCCACGCTTCGCGGTCCCATTTGGAACTCGACAGAAGGCCCCAGCGGCAGGGTTCGCATGGCGGCCCCACGCCCATGTTGGCACACCGCTCACACGCTGTGGCAGCCTCCTAACCCTCGGGTAGGAGGAGGAGAGAGGAAGGATGAGGAGGAACGAGGGAGGAAGGAGAGAAGGGAGAAAGGGGTGCGTTGGAGAAGGAAGAGAGATACCAAAGCAAGGGTGATGAATGGGGGGCGGGGAGGAGGGAGGAAGGGGGAGGTGGTGGGACGGTGGAATGAGCGCGGACGCTGTACTCTGCGGAAGGGGCCTCACCCAACGGCACCGCACCCATGGTGGGCAAAACTGTGAAATTTGGCACCCAGCACGGCAATATAGTGCGTCCGGCAGCCGTGTAGTAGACGTCTTGCGACCTCACGGTGGCGAACCTGTCTTATGTTTGATTCTTGGGGCCGTATTGGGCCCTCCGGGGGCACCCGCGGCCCCAGTCCCCTTCTGCCCGTGCTGGAAGAGCACGGCAGTATAACGGAGATCCCCCACGACCCCCCCCGTGGCCGAAGCGGAGACGGCAACGACGACCCGCACCAGGGCCGCGGGAAGGCCGCCGCGGCGGCGGCGGCCCGCCGTTCGGCCGAGGGCCGTTCGGACGGGCCGCCTCGGACGGGCCACGGCCACCCCCCCAGGCAGCGGCCTCCGCGTGTCCCTTCTGCGCGGCGGTGATGAGGGGCGTCGAGCCGTCCTCCCGGGCCAGAGGAGAGGGGAGGGAGGATGCAGCGGAGGGGGGCCAGCCAAGCTGATCAGGTGCGCTCCGGCCATACCTGGCATCCCACCCCTCCCACGCATCACTTCCCAATGCGCCGATGTTTTCTCTACCCGCCGACGCGTGCCGTAGCAGACCCAGAACACCACGGAGTATCCCATCGTGTTATGCGCAATCGGGAGAAAAAGGAGCTGCGTACATTGGAGGAGGAGGAGCAGAAGGAGGAGGAGGAGGAGGAAGAGGAGGAGGAGAGGGAGGAGGAGGAGAGGGAGGAAGAGGAGGCGGAGGAGAAGGAGAAGGAGGAGGAGGAGCAAGAGGAAAAGGAGGTTGAGGAAGGAGGAGGACGATGACGAGCGACAACAGCAGCAACAGGAGGAGCTGGAGTGGAAGGAGCGGGAGGAGCAGAAGGACCAGGGAAAGGCGAAGGGGAATTGAGGGAAGGCGTTGTCGCCTGGCGACAACGAAGAAAACATATTCGGATCCTGAGACGTGGCCCGCGCTGGGGCGAGAGAGCTATACTGAACGACGGAAGCAAAGCGCCGATCCGAAAATGCGGCCCGCGCTGCAGCGGGAACACCATTTTGAAACACCGGAAACAATCGGATCGTAAACAACCATAAGAAAACACACGTTGTCCAGTCCTGCACAAAAAATACGCGGAGAGGGCCGAGCATCTCCCGAACAGAATCAGGGGAGAGAGGAGAAGAATACTCACACTGTGTTCTTGTAAATCTTACGTTCTCAACAAATGGATACGACAACGGCGCCCCTACACCGTGCCATGCTTGGACTTCCGTCAGACCCCACTCCAATGCGGTACGGTGCATACGCTTGCGGCTCTGAGGGGTCGAACAACTACGCACCGTAACATTCCCAGGAGAAGACTCGGCGACGCCTCTGGAGATGCCAGCGTGGTACAGTGCACACAGTTCGCCCACGGGAAAGGATCCGCATTACCCATCGGCCTTGGGCGGTCTTCAGCGGTCTTCTACCGGTCTTCGGCTGTATTCTAGCGGTCTCTTCGGCGGTCGTCGGTGGAGTTTGGCGGTCTGTGGCGGTTTCGGGCGGCCTTCGTGGCGAAAGCTGGGTGGTGTTGCGCTCAAAAGGGGGTCCATGATCGAACTCCGAACAAATCAGCTCAAGTTTTGCTGGTTCTCCTGGCGCCAGAGAGCGCCAACCTGTCGAGGAAAGGCGCCAAGCAGCGAGGCCGAAACTGGCTGCATGCAACAAATGACGTCCCCCCCTTTCCCATTCACCTTCCGGGGACGTACTAGCCCAGGTCAGCACAGACCGGGGTGGGCCCGGGCCCTGTCGCGAAGCACCGCCGGCCGCCCATAGTAGCTCCCAAACCCAAGTCGGCGGAGGGCGAAAAAGAGGGACCCGGCCCCACGTGGCTCCCAAATCCAGGTCAGCCAAGGAAGATTCAAGTACCAAGACCGCTACTGCCCAGACCTCTCCCATAGTGCGTTCTGTCCAGGAGTTCGAACAGAATCCAGTGGTGGTGACGAAGGCCTCCCAGGAGGCTCAAAAAGGCGAAGACGAGGGAAGTGTAGCGATATCGGCACCTTCTCCTCATCTGAGGTAGCCCTGACATCCCGGCAGCGCTGAGCCCCGACTTTCGTCTGAGACCTGAGATCCTCCCGGGCCTTGGCCATGTCCGCGCCAGCCTCGGCAGGATGCCGCCGTGGCTGGCTGGGAGAGGAAGAGGACCGAATCTCGAGGAGGGCCTCCTCCTCCTCCACCTCACGATGATGATGCTGATGATGATGCTGATGATGAACATGATGATGATGGTGATGATGAACATGATGATGATGAGGAGGAGGATGATGAGGAGGATGATGATGAGGAGGATGAGGAGTCCTCATCCTCCTCCTCCTTCTCCTCCTTCTCTTTCTCGCATCCTCCTCCTCATCCTCCACCTTCTCCTCCGTTTCCTCCTCCTCCTCCTCCTCATCCTCCTCATCCCTCCTCCTTGTTTTCCGATTCTTAACCGGTTGCAGTGCAATCGCTTGTCGCTTACAGGGTTGCAATGCAATCGCTTGTCGTACATACTTTGTGCAATGCGTATGCCGGGTCATGAGTCATTACCGGCTTGCTAGAATAGCGAGCGCGGAACGCGAGCAACAAGCCAGCCTGATGTAAGACAAACCAACCGGGCTGTGTCCCTTCAGGGTCAGTCGACTGACCAGAGGAGGAGGAGGAGGAGGAGGAGGAGGAGGAGGAGGAGGAGGAGGACCAGTGTAAACCAAATAATCATCGACGATGTTGGGATAAACCATCCCTCCAAGCTCCCTCTTCCTAGGCACCTACACGGGTTCATTTCACTGAGGGAACTGCTTCGTTGGAAAACAATGAACCGTGCCAAAACGCCGTTCTTGGGACGTCAACATCGCGAATCAACGTGACTGTTGCGCGCCCAAATTCCTGAATCGCTCCAAAACACCATTTCTGGTACGCTGACCATGGGAACCCGTCAAACTCTTGCAAGTGTTTGAAAAGAATGTGTGCGACGCTAAGGCGAGAACTAAATTTTGAAAAGGAACCGCCCTCAATCCGTGAAGCTCTTGCAAATGTCTGGAAACGAATGTGCGCGGCGCTAAATCGAGAGCTACAATTTGAAAACGACCCGCCCTGACTCCGTGAAACCCTTGCAAATGTTTAAAAATGAATGTGCGCGGCGCTCAAGCGAAAACCGCATTTTGAAAACGGCCCGCCCTCAATCCATGAAGCTCTTGCACATGTTCAAAACGAATGTGCGCGGCGCTAAGGCGAGAACCACATTTTGAAAACGACCCGCTTGGTAAACTTCAGGGTCAAAATTGGTGAGGAAGTCTCGGGCGAAACGCCCGGACCGCCCTAAAAACTAGCCTCGGGGCGCGACAGGGAGAAGATAATTACTCGACGCGGGGATCCCCATGTGTATCTATGTGCCTGGACCTTTTCCGCTGCGAATGTCTGCGAGAGAATCTGGGCATAAAAGGGCCTGAGTGAGAGAAACTACGGTAGGGTGGGTCTGAGTGTGAGTGAGCCCGTGTGTGGGCGAGTCTGAGCGTGAGTGAGTCGATGTGTAGAAGTCGGAGTATGGCTAAGCATTTGGTAAGTGTATATGAATGTGAGTGGTCTGGGTATTGAAGTGTAGGTGTGAGAGAGAGAGAGTCGTATGAGTGTGAGTGGCGTGAGTGCGAGTGTGAGTCTGATTGTGAGTGAGTCCGAGTGTAAACTTGGACACGTATGTAAAACACATAGGGTTCGAGACCAGTAAAACACATAGGATTCGAGCCACAAAAGAAAAACAAAACATAGGCACCTACGTAAAACACGAAGATGGGGCCGGCATGAGGACCTTCTGGGACCTCCTGGGGTCTCCTCGGGCGTCCTGGGTCTCCTGGGGCTCCCGGGGAATCCTGGAGACTCCTGGGGCCTGCTGGTACCCACTGAGGCCTGTAGGGGCCTCCTGGAGCCTCCTGGGGCTTACTGGTGCCTCCTGGGATTTCATTGCGTTTCCTCGGACTTCCTGGGGCCTCCTGGGGCCTCCTACGGTTTCCTGGACTTCCTGGGGCTTCCTGGGGCCTCCTAGGGTTTCCTGGAGCCTCCAGGGGCCTCGTGGGCCCTCTCTGGGGCCTCTCTGGGGCTTCACAAACACAAGCAAACCGCATGAGACATGGCCCTTGGGAATGCCGAAACCAGCCCCTCGCCTGAGCCAACCTCTGAAACTGCTCCGAAAAAAAAGGACGCTGGGCACCGACACAGGCAAACCGCCTGAGACATCCCCCAAACCTGGGCGCGAACGGGCCCGTGATATACCCCCTGGAGCCCCCCTTGGGAGTGCTGAAACCAGCGCCTCGCCTGAGACATTCTCGGAAACTGCTCCAAAAGAAAAAGATGTTGGGCACCGAAATAAGCAAACGCCTGAGACATCCCCCCAATTTGGCCCCGAACGTGCCCGTGATATACCCCCTGGCGCACCCCCTTGGGAGTGCTCAAACCAGCACCTCGCCTGAGACATCCTGGGAAGCTGCTCCGAAAGAAAAGGATGGTGGGCACCGAAACAGGCAAACCGTCTGAGACATCCCCCCAATCTGGGCGCGAACGTGCCCGTGATATACCCCCTGGCGCCCCCCCTTGGGAATGCTGCAACCAGCGCCTCGCCTGAGACATCCTCGGAAACTGCTTCGAAAAAGAAAGGTGTTGAGCTCCCAAACCGGCAAACCGCCTGAAACATCCCCCAATCTGGGCGCGAACGTGCCCGTGATATATTCCCTGGCGCTCCCCCTTGGGAGTGCTGAAACCAGCGCCTCGCCTGAAGCATCCTCGGAAACTGCTCCAAAAGAGAAGGATGTTGGGCACCGAAACAGGCAAACCGCCAGAGACATCCCCAATCTGGGCGCGAACGGGCCAGTGATATATTTACTGGCGCCTCCCCCATTGGGAGTGCTGAAACCAGCGCCTCGCCTGAGACATCCTCGGAAACTGGCACCGAAACAAGCAAACCGCCTGAGACATCCCCCAAATCTCGGCGCGAACGTGCCCGTGATATATGGTCCAGGGCTTGGGCCCCCCCCCCCTCCCCCCCAATGCTGATGCCATTGGGCCCCCCCCCCCGCGCGATGGTCCCCCCCGCCCCCCCCTGTGGGCGTGGCGTGGTGCTGCGCTGCGGTGCCCCCCTCCCCCCCCCTGTGGATGTGGTGTGGTGCTGTGGTGGTTCAGAGGTGGGCGTGGCGTGGTGCTGCGCTGCGCTGCCCCCCTCCCCCCCCTGTGGATGTGGTGTGGTGCTGTGGTGGTTCAGAGGTCGTCGTCGTCGTCGTCGTCGTCGTCCTCGTCGTCCTCGTCGTCGTCGTCGTCATCGTCGTCGTCGCCGTCGTCATCGTCGTCATCGTCGTCGTCGCCGCCGCCGCCGGCGTCGTCGCCGCCGCAGCCGTCGTCGTCGTCGTGGTCGTCGTCGTCGTCGTCGCCGTCGTCGTAGTCGTCGCCGTCGTCGTCGTCGTCGTCGTCGTCGTCTCTGGGACCATACCATCTGGGGGGGGGGGGCCCGAGGAATCCTGGGACCATACCATCTGGGGGGGAGGGGGGGGGGGCCCGTGGGCCCGGAGCCCGGGATCATATATTCCCTGGCGCCCCCCCTTTGGTGTGCTGAAACGAGCGCCTCGCCTGAGACATCCTCGGAAACTGCTCTGAAAGAGAAGGATGTTGGGCACCGAAACAGGCAAACCGCCTGAGACATCCCCCCAATATGGGCGCGAACGGGCCTGGGATATACCCCCAGGCGCCCCCCCTTGGGAGTGCTGAAACCAGCACCTCGCCTGAGACGCCCTCACAACGCGTGTGTGTGTGTGTGTGTGTGTGTGTGTGTGTGTGTGTGTGTGTGTGTGTGTGTGTGTGTGTGTGTGTGTGTGTGTGTGTGTGTGTGTGTGTGTGTGTGTGTGTGTGTGTGTGGTGTGTGTGTGTGTGTGTGTGTGTGTGTGTGTGTGAGAGTCTGAGCGCGGAAGTACCAGGAGTGTGAGTGAATCTGCATACGAGTGATCCCGAGCATGAGAAACCTGAGCATCAGGAATCTAAGGGCAAGTGCATCTGAGTATGAGTGAGTCTGAATATGACTGAGTCTACATGTGAGTGAGTCAGAGAATGATGACCAGAGGGTGGGAGGTGTGTTCTCTCTCTCGCGCTCTGCGCTGTCTAAATAATAACAAGAAGCCCATCCTTAAGAGATGGGGAACTATTTATCCGGAAGAGGAATGGAGGATGAGGAAGAGGAGGAGGAGGAGGAGGAGGAGCAGGAGAACAAGGAGTAGGACGAGGCACCAGGGGCCGAGCCCCGCGCCGAGGGGGGCGGCACTGGGGACCTTCAGCCGCCTCTTGCGGACCGCTGGGCCAGGAAGAGAACGAAACGCCGACGCGTCTGCGCTCCTTCTGCGCGCGTCTCGGCAAGGAGAAGCCCTACTCGTCTCATCCTCATCATTCTCCCCTCCCCCCTCCCCCTTTCCTCCTCCTCGGGGGGATCGGCGCTCGAGGTCATCGAGCTTCTCTGGCCGAGCGCCAGGGGCAACGACAGCGGTGGTGCTGGCCCGAGGGAGGGGCCAACGAGCGCTGTCCGGTGGCAACCCCACAAATGGCGTGCATGCGATCGCACGGAGCCGTGATGGCAGCAACCTCGTCGTCGGTCACTCGTCGATCTACTCGGAGAGCGAAATTAGCATCGATGTCACGCCTGTCGGACGGCCAAACCCATCAACGTGTTACTGATGAAGGGGCACCGAGCTCTTGTGCAAAAAGGCGATCGGGTAAAACACCACAGCTGGAAAGGCGACGCACGGGGCATTGATACTCGGACAGTCCCTCCTGACTGACTGCAGAGGGCACCCGAGAGGGCACGCGAGGCTCCCCCGAGGGCAGCCCCTGCTCCAGGCGCGAGGGGGGCAAGGAACACCCGACGCAGACAGTGCGCATGGGGTGGCCCCTCGACGCTGAAGGGGCCAGCCCGAAGCATGCCGTCGCTCGGACGTCCAGTCCCTGCGCATGTTTATGTTTCGTATTTTTTTGTGTTCGCGGGATGGTCCAAGATGCCCCTCGATGGTCCAGGTTTCCTGGCGCAGACAAAATGCAGACGTCCGAGCGATGCCAAAGAACCCAAGACGGGCACACTGCAGGGCCCAGCGACGGCCCGGCCGCGGCCGCTGGAAGCGGGCGATGTTGGCTTCCTGGGAGGGCGATAAAAGGGGGGGGGCAAGAAGAAGCGTGCTCCTTTAGCTCCCCCCTTCAGATCCCCGCCAAAGGCGAGGCCAAGATGCCAGATGAGCTCATTTCGCTCAGCCAGCTTTAGCGCTCCAGACTTGAGCTAGCTTCGAACCTGGCGTAAAGCAACAGAGTTGTCTGACCTCTGAGGTGCGTGCGACAGGACTATACTTTCTTCACCCGGCCCCCGTTCGATCGCCCCCCATTGCGCAGCACCCGAGCGATGCCGCGCGCCCGACGTCATTGTCTTTTTCACAGCGTCGACCCTCAGAGGTCTCGACACACTACCCGGGAACTGTTTCTCATCCTGAGTACCTCTCTGACGGTCCTGGGACCAGGCGAGGGCCCCCCAGAGACCGATAGCTGGAGACCCAAATGGACGTGCGGAGGCAGAGGCAGAATGGGAGGGAGGAGGGACGGGGAGGAGGCGAGGAGGACGCGGGGCACCGCCTCTTCAAAGCGAGGACCCCACACCCTTGAAATGGTTGGGCAATAACAATAAAAGGATGCCATTCTGTTTGGCGCGACGTGAGCCCACACACGCGTTGTCCTGATGTGTTCAGTGCGGGGTCCCCGAAATGACACTTTCCCCATGACCCGGTTCTCATCCTGCGTCGTTTGGCGACGGTCCTGGGGCCCGGCAAGGGCCCACGGAGGCCGAAAATTACCAAAAACTTGCCACACGGATGGTTTTACGACGACAGCCTGTATGGGAGATCGGGGGTTGCTAAAGGTGCTCCTGGCTCCAGGTGCCCCCAGCTGTTCGCTCAATTTCGGAGACCCTGGGGCCCTCTGGGCCTCGTGAGAGGTGCTCTAGAGGTCGTGGGGGCCTCCTTTGAAATCCTTCGGGCATCTTGGGCCAGGGGCACTTCTAGCAACACCCGCATCGTGTCTGGGAGAAGGTCTGGGGCCGTGTCGCGCCAGATCCGCGCGCGCCGCCGAGGGCCGCGGCCGCACACAGGTACTGGACCACCCAGTCGTTGCCCTCCTGCGCCGCCATGAACAGCGCGGTGGCCCCGTCCTCCGAGTAAGAGACAGGCTGCAGCATTGATATGTGTATGTGTACACAAGGAGTAGATGTATACATATGTATACATTCATAATATATAGCAGACTTTCTGTTCGTAGCATCTAAGGACCAAACATGTGTCATTTTTGCCAAAAAATATCATGGGGGAAATCAGTTCTGCAATCAATCCCCTACGCGAGTCCTTCCAAGCCAGGTCCACCTCGGCTCGGGCCTCGCAGATGGACTGCACGATCTCCAGGTGACCGTGGTGCGCTGCGAGCATCAGCGCCGACGTGCCGTCCTGCCTCACCTGGGGGGGGGGCGCCAACGAATACGCCTGCAGACTTCCTGGCCAGACAGGCGTCTCCTGGGACTTTGTATTCGGTGTCAGCGGCATCCTGGCCTGGGCCAGGACGGCATGCACTTGGGGAACCAAAAGGACAGACCGCTACTGTCTGGACCTCTCCCAGGATACGTTCTGACCAGAATTTCCAAGCGAGTCAAGCTGTCGCGGGCCCCCAAAAGCGAAAACGAGGGAAGGATCGCGGTATCGGTACCATCTCCTCCTCTCAATCCTGGCCAGGCCCCACCTGGGCCCCATAACCGGTGAATGCGTCATACTGGCCTGGGCTAGTCTGGGGAAACCAACAGATACGGCTACTCCCCAGACCTCTCCCACGGTGCGTTCTGACCAGACTTTCAAGGAGAATCCAGCGGTGGTGACGAAGCGTTTCTGGGACAAGCAGCGGTATCGCCATTCGTTCCTCCTGATCTGGGCCAGGAGGGCAGATGTATACGCCGATGTCGAACACAGGATGGGTCTGGCCAGGAGCGGTGCAGTTGTATAATTTTACTTGGCGCCCTCCGATCACCCTGCCCGCGTCGGCCCGGAGCTCGCAGAGCGAGCGGACCACGCGCAGGTGCCCCTCCTCCAGCACAAGAAACACTCTGTACATAAAATTGCTAGCTAGCGTGGACCCGAACAATAACGAGGCGGCAACAAGGCGGCAACGGACGGCAACGTGGCCGCACGAGGCGGCAACGGGGCGGCAACGAGATAGCAACGTGGCGAAACCTCGCCGGACCCACACACGAACTAGGCGGCAGCAAGGCGGCAGCAAGGCGGCAACGTGGCGAAACCTGTATGTAGCCCAAGTCTGGGATTTCCTGGAGCAAACGTCTGAACCCCGTGAGGGCCTCGTGAGCCCCTGAGTCCCTTCCCGGGAAGCCCGCCTAGCCTCTCCCCTCTCCTGTCCTCTGGCCTTCCCTTTCCTCTGCGTGCTCGTGCTTTCTCAACCCTTTTATGCCCCAAGGCTGTATGGCTCGCAGGCCGGCCTTTTGAGCTTTAGGCTCACACGTACTGGGTGACGGCTGTCACCCCAGCGTAGCCAAGAGTGATTACGGCCCGCTAGCCAGCGGGAGCAAATCGCAGAGAACAGTGAAAATATCAATTTCACGTTCAGACCAAATAAGAACTCCTGAATGCAAGCACTGTTTGGGGAACAAACTCAAAAAAGGTTCGCGCAGATTTCTTGGATCGGAACTGGGCCCCTCTCCCTCGAGCGCGGAGCGCGACATGGGTAGCGGCTGAAACGCCGCCCTGGGGGGGGTCCAGCGCAGATGCGCAAAATCCGCACAGAACTTCGAAATCGTATGTTTACGTAGCTGGTCCTTCCTCGACAGGGGTGCGTCCGAATAGCCCCTCTGAGGGTGTGTTCGCTAGAGTTTCCCCGTTTCTGAGCGGCCTGACTTCTCGGGTCCAGCGCCGACCCTAGAGAACTCCGCGCGTCCCACTTTTTTGGTTTGTTTGTTCTATGCTTGCGTGCAGACATGTCTTCGATCCTCAGCCGACTGCATCAGCGGCGTCTCGCCCTCGGGCGTGCCCATGTTAATATCGGCGCCCGCCTCGCACAGGAGCCTGACCACCTCGTTGTGCCCCTCGCCGCACGCCAGCAACAGCGCCGTCATACCGTCGGGGCGCACGTAGTTCGGATCGGATGGGAGCCTCGGGGAGCAGAAGACTTCTCTTTCTCGATTCCTTCTTCAATGCACATCCTACCATGATTCTCGACAAGCCTCCTGGTCCTCCTCCTCCTCCTCTTCCCCTTCCTCTTCCTCGATTCTCGAGAATGCTCCTCCTCCTCCTCCCATTATTTGATCAACTCCTGAAGAATCAGCCCTCTTCCTCGGTTCATCTCCCCCTCTTCTCGGGTCGGGCGAAGAAAGTGGTTACCCAAGGAGGGGGGGAGCGGAGCAGTTGGTGTACCCTGTTTTACTGGAACTCGAGTTGTTTTAGCCACATAGCGCGCGTCACGTGGTTCGGTGGGTGGGTGGGTTCACGGGCACATAGCATAACACAGTCGTGCCCGGCCGCTCGAAATTGTTTTGTCTGAAAGCACTGCTGTTGCTGTTGGCGTTGCTGTTGTCGTTGCTGTTATCCGTGGTACGGGTTTATCGACATGGCCGTACAGCTGCGATCGCCACAATGCGCGTTGACACAACAATGCTAGCTCTCACAATGCAGGCTGATGCAGCAGCCTACGCATGCGCCATATCGCTTGTGTACATCACGAATATTACGTGCATGGCAGTGCTCCTGTGCACCACAACGCATGCGTACACCACTGCGAACGCGCAACCGCAACGCTTTTGCACAACACAACTGAAGCCCCACAACCACATTCCGCGTGCACCACAGCACCTGTGTACAACACGGTCCGCGCGCGCACCACAGCAGTCGCGCGCATCGCGGCGACTGGCCCTGCGTGTGCCACACTGCATATGCACACAACAGAGCCCGCGTACACTTCGAGGGTCCCGGCGAGGTCCATAATCCGAAACTCGTGTTCGTGGGGGTGGAGCGGACGTATGAAACTGAATATGCAAATGTTGTGTGGTTCTTGTTTTCTTCGGCCGCCTGGATACCACTCCGGCAAATTTAAAATGCGAGCGGCCGCGGCGACGAAAATCCCTCAAGAAAGGGAAACCCGTGGCGCCTCGAATTCACTTGCGCCGCGGCTTCATCCAAAAAGGCCCGGGCCCAAGAGGCGCCCAAGGAGTTCAGATACGGCTCAAGACGGCCCCAAAACGGCCGAAGAAACGCCCAAGACTGCCCAATTGACTCCTAAAAGGGGGGCCGCCAACCGACAGTTCGAGCCTTTCACCCCAAGGCGCCCCCAGGAGGCCCCACTAGGCACCAAAGACTCCACCTAAGAGGTCCAATAGAACCCAATAGCGCACCCAAGAAGGCACCAAGAGGCTCAAATCCCTCCCTTCCCCTCAATCTGCCCGTCGTCCTCCTCGTCGTCCTCGTCATCCTCGTCCTCCTCCTCCTTCTCGTCCTCCTCGTCTGCGTCCTCGTCCTCGTCCTCCTCGTCCTCCTCGTCCTCCTCGTCCTCCTCTTGCTTCTGTTCCCCATCCCTCCTCCTCCTGGCGCCCAGGGTGGGCGGCACCTGTCGCAAATCCTCCCCAATAGACTCTCTTCACTGCGGGGTCACAGGGCGGTCACTGCGCCGTGGTCGGCGCGGTGGTAATACAGGAACTGCCCCAAGAAGTTGCAGGGCACCGCAGTCACTGGAGTACCGAACGCCACGTAGCGGCGCACGAAAAAAAAACGAACTGTGCGCACCCCTGTGCCTGCGTATGAATGCACCCCTGCCAGTGCGCACCGTCAGCATCTACATCACAGCGCCCGCGTACACCACAAAGCCCGCGTACACCACCAGGCGCCCGACGGTGTCAAACTCCAACACACCATGGCCATCCAAAACGTATCAATTCCAATATGCAGGTTGTTTGTGCTTATTCCCGGAAAGGGCCTGAGCCCAGGGTTCTCTTTTAGTTGGTTTCCCCCCGGTTTTGACGGCTGTAGGGCCGGCGAATTCCTTTTGCGATAAATAACGAGGTCGCGTAGGGCCGGCGAATTAAAAATTGAGGATGTCCCTAGCGAAACGCTTGTTTTTCAGAATTTGTTGAGGATGTCTCGAGCGAAACGCTGGTTTTGCAGAGTTGGGGATGTCTCGAGCGAAACGCTTGTTTTCAGAATTTGTTGAGGATGTCTCGAGCGAAACGCTGGTTTTGCAGAGCCGACCGCGACGCGGAAAAGCGCCCCGCGCGCAGGAATTCCGATGATGTTTCGCGCGTGCCGCGTCCCGCGCGCAGGAATTTCGAGGATGTCTCGACTAATTCGTTTGTTTTGCTAGGATTTCCTTGAATTTTGGCAGGATGTCTCGAGCGAAATGCTTGTCTTTCATAATTTGTTGAAGACGTTTCGAGCGAACCGCTGGTTTTGCAAAATTGGGGGATGTCTCGAGCGGGAGCCTCGTGGGGGGCCTCGTGGGGGTCCAGAATTCAGAGGATGTCTCAGGCGAAATGCTTGTTTATACGTCCCGCTCGCAAGAATTTCGAGGATGTCTCGCGCGTCCGCGCCCCCGCGTAGGAATTCTGAGGATGTTGGCAGGATGTGTCGAGCGAAACGCTTGTCCCCAGCACGTTCCGTAGCGCGTCCCCTTGGCACGTCCCGCGGTGCGTGCCCGTGGCACGTCCCCTGGCACGTCGCTTGGCGGGTCCCTTGGGACGTTCCGCGGCGCGTCCTCCTGGCATGTCCCCTTGTCAATTAGCTCTGGGGCAGCTACTATGTGTTCAGGCAGCTCGAGCTTAAGATTCAGATCAGGACTCGGATGCAGAGGAGGACTCGATCCACGAGGCTATAGAGCACAATCGCGGCATGGCACATCGCAAGTCAGCACGGCGCAGCACAGCACAGACTTCGGCACAGTACATCAAGATCGATAGACTCAGCATTGCAACTTGGCACGTTCCTTGGCACGTTCCGTGGGGCGTCCCTTGGCGAGTCCCCCTGGCACGTCGCGTGGCGCGTCCCCTGGCACGTCCCGCGGCACGTCCATTGGCACGTTCCGTAGCGCGTCTCCTTGGCACGTCCCGCGGTGCGTGCCCATGGCACGTCCCCTGGCACGTCGCTTGGCGTGTCCTTTGGGACGTTCCGCGGCGCGTCCTCCTGGCATGTCCCCCTGTCGATTAGTTCTGGGGCAGCTACTATGTGTTCAGGCAGCTCGAGCTTAAGATCCAGATCAGTTCGGTCAGGACTCGGATGCAAAGAGGACTCGATCCACAACGCTATCTAGAGCACAATCGCGGCATGGCACATCGCAGTTCAGCACGGCGC